TCTCTCTCTCTCTCTCTCTCTCTCACACACACACACACACACACACACACACACACACACACACACAGAGTTTCTTTGTCCAATCTGCCAAAGTGTGTCTTTTACTGGGGAGTTAGTACTATTTACATCGAGTTATCATTAAAAATTATTCACTGATTCTTATCATCATATTATCTGTCCTGTGCTGACTTCTTTTAGTTTTCCTTTCATTTACTCTCTCAGTGAGATTTATTCTTTCCTTTGGGCTCTTGGGCACTGGTGGCCTTGTTGTTTAGCATTTTCTTGTGTACTTTCTGCAGGTTTGGAGGTCATGAATTTATTTTTAAGTTTATCTTTGTCATGGAAGGTTTTTACTTCTCCATCTATTCTAAAGTACAGTTTTGCAGGCCACAGTCATGTGGGTTGACAATTATTTTCTTTTAGGGCTGAAAGACTTCACTCCTGGACTGTAAGTCTCGTGTTGAGAAATCTGCTGTTATATTGATGAGTTTGCCTATATAAGTTATTTGACATTTTTCTCCAACAGCTTTCAGTATTATCTTTTTGATCTGAATTTCTGGAACTTTGATTATGACGTACCATGGAGAAGTACTTTTCTGATTGTGTCTACCTGGGGTACCAAATGCCTCACTTAACTGGGTGTGCAACTCATCAACTAGATTTGGAAATTTTTCTGCAATGATTTTGGTGAATAAATTTTGATAGCATTAGCTTCTAATTCTACCCCTTCCATAATTCTGATAATCCTTAGGTTTGTTCTTTTGGAGTCTTCCAGGACTCCTCGGGTCATCTTCTGATTGTCTTTTGGGTTTATCAGGAAGTAAATGACATGCTATCACAACTTCATCCTTGAATCCTGATATTCTGTTCTGAATGACCATGCCTACTGCTAAATCTTTCAATCGAGTTTTCTATTTCCATAATTTCTGCTTGATTCCTTTTCACATCCATTAGTTCTCTACTGAAGTGTTCTTTCATATCCTGCACTGTTTTCCTAATTCAACTCCTTATCATCATTATTATTATTATTGTTATTATTTATCTTTTTGAGAGAGGGTCTTGCTATGCAGTTCAGGCTGGCCTTGAACTCACTTTGTAGCCCAGGCTGATCTCAAACTCTCAATGATCCTCCTGCTTCAGCCTGCTGAGTGCTGGGATTACAGGTGTGCGCCACCACGCCCGGCCTTAGCTCCGTATTTGTTTCTCCTTTAAATTCATTGATAATCTTAGTGAATGCTTTATTTCACTGCTTATTTATAGCTCCTTTAAGTTCATTCATCATTTTGTTAATCATTTCAGTCAGCTGCTTATTTGTCTCTTCTTTGACCTTTTCAATCATTTTTACCTGTTCTGAGTTCTTTGTGTGGAAGTTCATCTACTTCAGGGCCAGGTGTGGTGGTGCATGCCTGTAATCCCAGCACTCTGGAGGCTGAGGCAGGTGGATCGTTGTGAGTTCGAGGCCAGCCTGGGCTACAAAGTGAACTCAAAGCCAGCCTGAGCTGCGTAGCTAGACCTTGTCTCAAAAAGACCAAAAAAAAAAAAAAAATTCATCTACTTCAGTGTCTGTGAGATCTACTTTAGGGGAGTTATAAATTTTTGGAGGCATCTTGTTGCCTAGCTTTCTCAGGATTGTTGTGTTTTTGTGTTGAAGGTTGGGATCTGGTGGGCTAGAAAGCTGTGTCACTATAGTAGAGGTGTCTTTTGGAAGTGAGTTTTCCCTGTGATGGCTTTGTAATGATAGTGCTCAGCTTCTCCAGAATACTACGGTCTATCCCTAGCATGCACCTGGGGAGAGAACAATTACCAGTAATGGCAGTATCCAAAGGGCCAATCATGTATCAGCACACAATATCAAACTTGTTTAAACACTTTTCCACTTTTTTGAACAGTCCAGGAAGACTAGGGAATATTAATAATGGAGAATAGATTGGGAATTAGGAGAAGGAAGAAAAGAGGTGGTGTTGGGGCTAGAAAGACAAAAGAGAACATAAGAAGAAAGAAAACATAGGTTTGGGTGCTATTATTTTTATGCCTGAAAACAAGGTGGTGGAGAGAAGAGAGGTTATGTGTCGGGGTGGAAAGAAAGAAGAAAAGGAAAGTTAATGTAAATTAAAAACCTAACCTTATATTACCAGGTAATGGAGATCTTGTTTAGAAAGATCTCTACTTTTTTGCTAAGCAGGAGAAGTCAAGGAGAGAAGGATAATACAGTAGGCTACAGAAAACTAAGTATTATTGATATTCAGATGAATACTAATAGTGTATATTGAAAGGATGTACAGCAAAGAAAAAATATGGAAGAGAGGGGGTGAGCAGAGAGAGAAAAGGCATGTGAAGGGATGAAGAGAAAGTGCAGCCAGAGGTGAGAGAAGAGGTAAGGTGACTGCATCCAGTTGCTGAACTGACTGTCCAAGAAGGTTGAACATGCTTAAAAAGCGATCTTCGGTATGGGAATCCATGACTAAACAGCTTAGTGTGTTAGGCTACTAAAGCAGGAAACTTATACACATAGCTACATATTGGAATACATATCATAAGAGGCCAAATAATTACATTCAACAAAAAACTGGTAGGTGAGCAAGGAGAAGAGAAAAATGGAAAAATGTGTGTGTGCATATATATATAAAATATAAAATATATATATAAAAAGAAACAAACCAAATTACAAAAACAAATGAAAAAGGAAGACAGTCTTGCTCTTGGTCAGGATGAAATCCCTGACCAGACCGTCACTGCTGCTGTCTTCGGGCCTCCATGCGCAGGAGCCTGCCCTGTTCTTGGGTACTTGGTTGGGGTTGGAGCCACTCCCTTTGGTGTCTCAGCCTTGGGGTCCCAGGCCGTGCACTGCCACAGCCTCGATGACAAGTTCTGCGCCTTCCTTTTCTTAGTCACTGGCATTTTGGCTCCCAGCTATGGTGGGGTTCTCTTGGTTCTGGAGCAGTTTTCCCAACCTTCCCCCAGACTGTAGGCTCAGCTGCATCTATGGGCCTTGAATGGCACAGCCCTACTCTGATTCAGGTGTTTTTCCTCCACCCCTGATGCTCACACAAGCCAGCTGTCTTGGTTCTCCAGTTTTCTCCCAGGCTTATGATTCCCACAGTGCACGGTGCTGAGGAAGGAGTGGAGGAGTGGACAGAACCCACGCCAGAACCGTCCGTCATCACTCCCAGCATCCACCGTTTCTGCCTTTGCCTCGGTCTTCTGAGTTTCTCTCAGGGTCAGCCACCTCCGTGCTGAATGCCGGGGAAATGCAAGCCTGAGCCTGGGCTCTGGGTGGCAGGTGCAACTTCTAGCTCTGACCCAGTCCTCCCCAGGCCTTTGTGGTTCAAGTTTCCCACAATACCTGGTATAAAGGGAACCTCCCTCATGCACACAGCTCAGTCTCCTGTCCTGCGTCCCAGCAGCAGTGCCTCTGGGATCTGCCTGCCCTGTGTTATTGTAGTGGCTGGGACAACCGCTAAGCTGTCTTCCACCTCCATGGCTGTTTTCCAAAATGAGCAGGGCCAAGGCAGGGTGGCCCGCTCGGTTCTTACTCTGGCGTCCTCTACTTCTCTTTCACCTGTTTGCTATATTGCTACCTCCATATGCAGCAGCACAACCGCTAACCTGGGTGAATGCGTTCGATACAGGGAGTGTGCAGCTTGCTCTAGACCTCCAGGATGGAACCTCAGCCCCAACTTCTCAGGCTCAAATGCCTTTGCACATTCGGCAAGGAGGTGCCCCACGGGGGACTGACACCATCTGTGCCCTGTTGGTCAGGCCTGCCAACTTCTCCAGGTACAGGAGGTCCTGCCCCCTGTTTGAGTGTGGAATCAATGTCAGGGGCGAGACCTGCGCCGTGAGGGCTGTGGAAACTGAGGCTTGGGGAAGGGACAGCCAGTCCAGCCGCCTGCCTCGCTGCTCAGACCCCAGGACGGGGGGTGGGGAGCAGCATTGCCAGCATCATCTTCTAAGTTGGCCGCTTCTCTTGTGTTTGCCCGACTGCCTGTGTGGATTCACTGGGTGAGGTGTGCATGAGCTCATGCCCTTCCTCACGCTGAGCTACAGGATGCACCTGGAACTGCACACATGAGGCCATGAGGTGTGCAAACAAAGCTGCACAGCAGATGCCCTTGCTCAAAGCCCTGCAGTGGCTCCCTATTACCTTGCAGGTTAGAACCCTCAGTGAAGAAGTCTAGCTCTCTTGAATCGCTCTTATACAAGCCTCTTCCTCCCAAAGCTTCTTAAAGGGACCAACCTACTCAGAATTGGGCAAAACCCTGGATCCCTGCCCAGAAAAAAAGCATATAAAGGAACAGTTCTGAAAACTGCTTTGTGGGGCTCCCCTCTTGTGGGTCCTGAGTTCCCCCTGCTCCAACTCCCATCACATCCCCTGCCTCCAGCCCTGCACCTCAAGAGCCCTCTCACCTGAACCAGCAGGAAGCCTGGCATCAGCTTCCAGCCCTGCTCCTGACATTCTTCCCACCTGCGGCACCTCCCGTCTTATCTAGTGGGTCCCTTCCCCTCCCACAGGACTCTGTTCCCACCTTACCTGCCCCACACTTCCTACCTGTCTCACCCAAGGGGCCTTTGTGCCCTTGCTGGGTTGTCAGTCCTTGGAGGGGATGTTAAGGACACTCACTGGTCCCTGCCAGGTGGTTTCTCTCCTGGGTCAGGCCTTCAGTTCTTCCAACAGTTCTGATTGCCCCCATTTTGCAGATGAAGATACTGAAAGTGGTTAAGCAACTTGCCTGATGTCAAGCTAGAAAGGACATGGTCATTCAAAGCAGGCCTTACATATGACTTAGGATCAGTAGCTGGATGAAGGCGTGTCTGTTCCCCACTCAACATCCAGTCCAGCAGGGACACCTCGCCTCTTTGTAGAAGGCCAGCTCTACTTTGCGCTTTTGACAAACAGCATGGTTCTTGCCCCTAGCTTATGGCTTGGAATAACAGGCCAACTGATTTGTCCTCATTGGCAAGAAGTTGCTTCGGCACCAGCAGCCTGTGGGGCGTGTTACCTTCGCAACAGATGGCAGGGCCTGAGTCCAGCCCTGCTCCCCCGCTGTTGTGGAGGGTCCAACTGCCTTCCTCAGATATCGCCCATGGACCTCACATGAGTTCAGGATGAAGAGCGCGCAGGCCAAGGCGTAGCCACCCCAGTTAGAAACGCCTAGGGCAGCAACAAAAATAGAATCTGTCACAGAACTGTGATGGTGCTGCAGTCCCTCTGCTTGCTTCAGGCAGCAGAACCCACCTGAGAGCATGGTCTCAGACCAGAGGCACCAGGTCACCTGAGAATCGTTACGATAACAAATTTGTGGGCCTCCAGGTGGCCCAGCAAGAGTAAGAAACTCAGCAGGGTAGGAGGGGAGCAAGTGGGGCTTTAATGGGCCCTCAGCTGAGTCTGAGGCAAGCTAACATTTGAGCTCTGTCGCTGTGAGCCATTTGGTTTACGTACTGTTAACTATCTACGTCATTTCCCCGTGGCTGGGACCAAATACCTCACACCCGCAACTTAAAGGAGGAGAGGTTGGGCTTGGTTTCAGTGGATTCAGGTCGTGGTTGGCCTCCTCCAAGGCAGAATGACGTGGAGGAGGAAAGCTGTGGACTGAATGGCAGCCAGGAAGTGGGGAGAGAAGGGAGGAGCCAGGGGCGAGAATGCACTCCCCAGGCCTCGCCCTCCAGGTGCCATGTCCTAGCAGCGCTTAGCTGCAGAACTCCTCACAGGGCGAATCCTCTGATGACTATAGCGCCTCCATGATGCAGTTGCCTTCCAAGCACATGAGATTTGGGGGACGTTTTAGGTCTGAACCATAACAACCATGAGAGAAAGACTCAAGCACTAACCCTAGGCACCCATTCCAAAACTCTCCACATGGAAAACCCTACCAGTGGCTGGCCTGAACGCAGGGTATAGGGAAACCCGTCCTCCCATCCCACTTTATGTGCTTGGGACTCACAACTAAATCAGCCTCAGACTTCCCTTCCTGTTCAGTCAGCCAGCCCCTAATACCTTATCCTACAGCCTGGGGACCCACTCATCGTCTCCTCTCTGAAAGCTGCTGTGCACGCTCCATTCACCGAAGAAGGATGGACCTGGGACCTGCTAAGCTCTGGGTGCTGGATGGACCAAAACAATAAAAGAGACAGGAGTGCCCAAGGGGGGCGGCACACAGCAGCCACAGGGAGGGGATCGAGGTGGTGTTTGCAGAGGATCATGGGAGCTCTGGTCAGGGCTCACTGGTTCAGCAAAGATTGTCAGAAAAGGGGTCATTTGCTTTGGAGGCTGGGTACAATTCTGCCAGAGGAGAGGCTGGGGTGGTGCTTCAGGAAAGCAGACACACAAACAAAACTCCATGAGCACAAAGGTGTGTGATCGAGCACACAAGGCTTATAATGAACTAAAGTGGAAACCGTGAGACAATCACAATACAGTATTTCATGGTTGCTAAGGCATCTTTTGGTTATATTTACATCCTGAAATAGGAAATTGGTTGTATCTTATAGTTGTCATTGGTTATGTTTTCCTTCATTCCTTTGTTTGTTTATTTATTTGGGACTGGACCCAGGCTCCTTGCACTGATGAGACTTTTTGCATTTTTTTGTTATTACTACTTTTGAATTTGACACAGGGTCTTGCTAAGCCATCAAGCTATCCAGGCTGGGTTCAAACTTGGGATCCTCCTGCTTCAGCCTCCCAGAGTGTGTACAACCATGCCTTGCCTATGTTTTCCTTTATTAGTGCTTCTTAAACATTGGTAATTCTTGTCTCCAATGGTGTCTTACAGTTAATGGAAGAGAGTAACTTGCTTTAGTCGAATATTCACAATCTGTGGCACTGTCGTAAATGTCTTACATGGATTAGTTCCTGGAGTCCTGTGAGGTGTATAATTATTATTTTCATTTGAATAACTGGAAAACAGACGCAGAAGGGTTAAGTGACTTACCAAAGGTCACACAGCTAGCTAGTGAGCTGTAGACTTGGGATGTGACTCAGGCTACTATCTCCACTGCCCATATTTTTTTCATTTAAAAAAAAATTAGAAGTTTTTAAATTGTGGTAAAACACGTAACACAGACATAGGAAAAACAAGTGTTCTTTCTCTGCTTACACATCACAGCCATTAACACAGGACACTTTTGTGACCACAAAAGGTGCAGGGATCCCTCCCCGGCCACAAGCCAGGAGCAGATAACCTGCTAGGTGTCCTAGTCCAAGTCAGCTCTGGCACTGTCCATTGGAGACAGCATTAAATCCCATAGGCCGAGGGCTCTGTCCTATTTTGGATGCCGGTCACAAACCCTGAGCTCACCAGTTATCAACCAAGGCCCCTGCGACCAGCTCCCTGGATTCTATCAATTTCTCCAGTGGATCCTAGATCTCCGGGACACACCTGTACTGGTTTATTACTATAAGGATGTTACACAGGACACAGATCTGGAGATGCACAGTGCAGGGTGTATGGGGAGGGGTGATCCACCTTCCAGAAACCTCCATGACCAGAAGCTCCCTGAACCGCGTTCTTCAGGGTATTATGGAGATTGCTCGCTAACAGACTGGGAAGGGAAACAGCTTGGTTTCTCCTGAGGTGTCTGTTGCCCATTTATTAATGTGTTGTTTGTTTTCTTATTATTCAGTTTTAGGAGTTCTTTATATATTTTAGATAATAGTCTTGGGCCAGAGATGTAGCTTAGCAGCACAGTGCCTGCCTGGCAAGTGCAAGGTCCTGAGTTCGATTCCCAGCACCAAAAAAAAGAAAAGAAAAAAAGATAACAGCCTTTTATCAGATATGTCTTTTGCAAATATTTTCTGCCAGTCTATGGCTTGTCTTCTTATTTATTTGATATTGTCTTTTGCAAGTAGATGTTTTAGATTTAAATGAAGTCCGGCTTATCAATTGTTTCTTTCATGGGTTGTGGCTTTGGAATCATATCTTAAAAGTCATGATTACACCAAAAGTCCTCTAGATTTTCCTCTAAGTCAGAATCTTTTATAGTTTTATGTTTTACGTTTAGGACTGTGACCCACTTTGCATTTATTTTTATGAAGAACACAAGGTCTGTGTCTAGATTTTCCTTTGTCAATGTCCAGTTGTTCCCACACTACCTTTATTTAAATGATTGATTAAAATTTTTTCTTTTCTAATTCGGTGCTCTAAATTTCCCGCTAGGCTCAGCTTTCAAATTTTGGTGAGCTGTACTTTCATTTAGTTCAAAGCATTTTTGATACACAATAGAAACTTATTTCTCATTGTCTTGAAGGCTGGGAAGTCCAAGATCAAGGTGCTGTCAGACTGTGGGGAGGGGCTGCTCCAAAATACTTCTAAGACGGTGCCCTGCTGGTCATCCTTTGTAGGGGAGGGATGTATTCTCACGTGGAAAGATGAATGGCAGTGGAGTTCAAAGTATTTTTAACTTAAATTTCTCTCAAGGTTTTTCCTTTGACTCAGGTATTATTTAGAAGGGTATTATTTAATCTCTAAGTGTTCTACAATTTTCCCAGCTACCTTTCTGTTACTGCTTTTTAATTTAACTCCATTGTGGTCTGAAAGCAGGCATAGTATAATTTCTATTCTTTTAAATTTGTTAAGATGTTTAGGTGTTATTCTTCTGTTTAAGATAGGGTCTTACTTGGTTGTGCAGGGTAGTGTCAATTTCATAGGTTCAAGCAATCTTCCTGCCTCAGTCTCCTGAGTAGCTGGTATTACAGGCATGAGTCATTATATGTTAGGTGCTTTTTTTATTGTTGTTGTTACTCGGAATGTGGTCTTTTTTGATGAAAGTCCCATGTTTGGAAAGAACATGTGATCTGTTTTTGTTGGAAGTTGTCTATAGATGTCAATTATAATCAGTTGATTGATGGCATTGCTGGGTTCAACTATGTCCTGCTGGATCAGCCCTTTTTCTTTTTTTCTCTTTCTTTCTTTCTTTCTTTCTTTCTTTCTTTCTTTCTTTCTTTCTTTCTTTCTTTTTGTCTTTTTGAGACAAGGTCGTGTTCTGCAGTTCAGGCTGGCCTGGAGCTCAGTTTTGTAGCCCAGGCTGGCCTCGAACTTGTAGCAATCCTTTTGCCTCAGCCTCCTGAGTGCTGGGATGATAGGTGTGCACCACCATGCCCAGTGATCAGTCCATTTTTGATACACAGATGTTGCAAAGTCTTCAGTGGAAAATAGTGATCTATTTTCTTTGCAGATGGATCAGTTTTTGCCTTATGTATTCTGACACCCTGGCATAGTCAAATTAAGTTTCTATTCTCTTAATGCCTTTAATACGAAATGGTGACACTTTGGAGATTCATTTCTGCATGAGTTTCGGGGAGGTGACCATCCTCAAACCATAGCGGTGACCCTGTGCCCCTGCGCTGCAAACTTCACCCACTGCTTCTCAGTTCTGCCCTTACACCGTTGGTTGGAACAGAGAAACCACAGAGGCTGGCGCTGGGTGTTTCACTTCTCCCAGGTATGTTTGTGCAGACAACCCCCAGCAGGCTGTGCTAAAACAGTTTCTTTGGAGGGCAGCTCTTGTTAAGAAGAATGGAATGTCCTTGCGTATTTCTAAACAGTTACTTTTCCTCTCCCCCTGCGGGAATCAAGAGATCGATGTCCTCTGATAGCTGCTTGAGAACCTGGTTGATCTCTCAGGGATAAAACCCGCAAGAGCATGGGAGACCCCATCTTGCATGCCCTGGAGTTTTTAGTGCCAAGTTTCATTGACATGGATCCTCCAGCAATTCCTCCATTATGGTTCAGGTCTTCTACGCTGGCCGTGGTTTCCCAGGATGCTTTTGTTCTCCTCCAGTCTAATTTTGATCTTGTGGTGGGAGAGCGCCTTTCCAAGGTGTCCTGATTTTCCTGAAACTGTGGCGAGGTCAAGGGAAGAAGGGCAGACCTGGAAGGACCTGGACACAGGAAAGGTTGGTCGCCTTGGGGAAGGGTGGCAGCAGGGAAGGGCAGGGGAGCCTGAGGCAGAATTTCCCGGCAGAAGTGGTGGGAGGCCTCCTGCATCTCCAAATATGGACTGAATTGCATGCCTGTCCACTATGCTGTAGGTACAGATGAAAGGGGTGAGAGGACTTCTGACTGCTGATCCTAATGGGCTGCCTGGCCCTCTCTTTTATCTCCCTGTTCTGTGTCCCCCATGTTCTTATCACAGCATACTCTGGCATCTGTATTTGCCTGAGCTCATTGTCTCCCAAGGGTAGAGCAGAAGTTTTATGGAGCTGGGTCATCTCAGTGAAAACTCCAGTACCCAGAACAGTGCCTGGCACACAATAAATGTTTTTTGTTTTGTTTTGTTTTTTGTCTTTTTTGAGACAGGGTCTTGTTGTACAGGTCAGGCTAGACTCGAGCTCACTTTGTAGCCCAGGCTGGTCTCGAACTCACAACAATCCTCCTGCCTCAGCTTCCCAAGTTCTGGGATTACAGGCATGGGCCACCATTCCCAGTTTAAATGTCTGTTAAGTGACCAAATAAGTCAGTGGTCAGAGGCTGAGAATCAGGTCCGTTTTGTGCCCTTCTGCCCTCTAGATTCTATTTCATACAAGAAGAGATTCTGGCCTGGTCAGACTCCAATCCAGGTGCTCCATCCTGGGCAGCAGGGTCTGACTGGACAGCCATCCAGGTGCTCACCAGCAATGACAGCAAAGTCAGCCTCTACATCACAGGCGATGACGTCCCCATTTCGTATATGTCTCTTCACAGCCTCCTTCACTTTGCCCATCCCAAGCTCATTGCCTCCATCACCGACTCCTGCAGGGAAGGGAAACTGAGTTAGGACACAAGAATAGGGGTGGGGGTGGAACAGGGTGGGGGCTCCACAAGTGTCTTGTGCCCTCTGGACAGCTTAGTGGTTGGCTCTGAATATACTTTCTGAGAACCAGGAGATGTTGCTTCCCCTCTAGCACTTCGAGAAATTTCTCTAGCTTAACATGAGCCCAAGTTTGGAACTCACCAGAATGTGGGCAGGTCCCCTGTTGGGTTACCTTTCCCTGTCACAGGAGACGGGCCTTCTGCTGACGGTCCCACGCACACAGGGGATGGGGGCCTGGTGACATGGAGGGACACCCCTTGAGTGGCTGTCGCTCACTGTGCTTTGCTAGAGTAGTCACCAGGTTGAGGCAGGAGAGGAGAGTGTGGCCAGCTGGCTGTGCAAGTGAGTGTGACCTGTCACTCATAGAAATTCAGTGTGCATGCATCTAAGCCCGGCACCTGGGACCAATCAGAGTGCTGTGTTTGCTTCTTCAGAAGTGAAATCAAGCAGGTTGTTGATAGGACGACCTACATCTGACAGGAAGGCCTAATTCTGATGTGGGAGAGGCGGATAGAAAAGATGGCCGCCATTAACCTCGTTGGCCCTGTGTTCTCTCTTTCACAGTGGCCTGCTGTGCACTCTGTAGAGCGTATTTCTTTTCCTACCTTAAAAAATGTAAAACCTCACTACCTTTTGAGTCTGTTTTGTCCAATTCTTTGTTCAGAACAACAAGAACTTGGAAAGAGTCTAGCAGGAACCCATGGCACCTCAGAACCTTGGTAATAAGATAAGGTGTGAGGAGGCCCTCCACCTCAAAGAGGAGGTGGGGCCTCAACTCGCCCTACCCATGGGTAGGTTGTAGGTTCACTGATTTATGTCAAGGAAAGAATTGCAGGATGTGGCAGTGAGAGACGCATAGATAGATTTACTAAGCAGAATTAAAGAAGTGCACACTGACAGCAAATAGAGCGTGGGCCTCGAAAGAGAGGAGCATCGTGGTCTGGGGTTGGGCTTTCTATTTATGTGGTCTTGGGGGTGTCCTCAAGATGACTGACCGAGGAGTGTGTTCCTGAGTTAGGCACTCATTGGTATGTTTGAAGTTGGGTGTGTTTGAAGTTTAGCAATCTACTGCCCACTTAACAGTGCTGCTTCCTGAGGATGGAGGGGTGGGATCTGTGGATCTATGCATAGGCCCACTTATACGCTGATTGTATCTTTAAAGCCTTTAGGAATTTTTGGAATGAGTTTCCTGGAAGGGAAAAAAAGCATTATAACCTTGAGTCACTTCAATTGTGTCCTGAAACTGCAGTTTTCTTGAAAGTACAATCTAAAAGTATGCTTGTTCTTGTCCTTTTTCTACCTGCCTTCTTCATTCTACTTCAGGGTGTCTGGACAGCAATTCACTGGTAGGGGTGAACCATGACCCACCAGCAGGGCTTCTGCTCCAAGAATGTGAACCCGTATTTGTAGCTGTTTTTCTTCTACATGGTGGTGGGCAGGGCTGGCTAACATCTGAGATCCCTAATCAGGAATATGCTCTCCAGGGGTGGCTGGTTAGCATCTGAAAGAGACCACAGCTCAGAGGCTCCTCTGCACAGCAGCACCAGAGGATCTGTTAATTAGAATAATAAATGAATGCTGGAGTACAGAAATATTTGAAACCTTTTTAATTCACTGGTGAAATGGGTGATGTTCTAGAGAGGAGGGTTAGCTAAAAATAATTCTTAAGCATTTCCATCCTTGCAGGATCAAGATTTTAAAAAACCAGCCTGGGGCAACTTAGCAAGTCCCTATCTCCAAACAAAAGGGCTGGGAGTGTAGTTTAGTAGCAGTGTGCTCACCTAGCATGTGTGAGGTTCCAGGTACCTGTACCCTTTGAGATATTCTAACCCTACAAGCTGCTTTCTAGCTGTGGCTGGAACATATGGGCACAGTGTCCCAATCCCAGCTACTTGGCAGGCTAAGGCTGGATTGCTTGAGCCCAGGAGTTTGAGACCATCCTAGGCAATGTAGTGAGAGCTGTGTCAATAACTGTTCATGCAAGATATGTGTGCCAGGGCCTCAAGGACAGAAGACCAGACCTCTTGACCCTACAGAATAGGTGTCTCACTGTGTCTTCATTGCTTTCTGGCTGAGACACAATATCTGAGACACCCACAGTTTAAAGGAGGAGAGGTTTATTTTGGTCTGTGGTTTTAGAGGTCTCAGTTTATGCATGGTCAGCTGGTGCCAAGGCAGAAATGGCATGGGAGAAAGGCCTGGCAGAGGGGAGCTGCTCATGTCAAGGCAGTCAGGAAGCAGAGGGAAGAGAAGAGCCGGAGACAAGAAAAAACCCTTCCAGGTCAAGCCACAGTGACCAGGCCCTGCCTTCTAACAGCGCATTCAGCTATAGTGCCCCTCTGATCCAGTCACCTTCCAAAAGAGCTCTGCCTCTGCACGTCTGAGAGCTTTGAGGGTCAATCTTGACCTAAACCGTAACACGCTGTATTTGAGCTTGCTTTTATGTGGGATGGTGGAGTGGGGAACCAGAGCTGGCTCATCTCAAACACCAGAGACCAGACTTAGCCAAAAGAATAGGACACTTGTGAATGACCGAACGCCTTCCTTTCACACCCTGATGATTTTTCTCAGAACGTTTTTCCAGATTGATGCCAGCTCATTGAACGACAGAAAATAATACTACTTGGAAGTGTTCATGGGTCTGCTAAGGGGGTAGTTTGGAGCCGTGACCAGCCAGCTCCACCAGGCTCCTCCATGTCTTCGGGTGCCACAGTAAAGATTGAGTCAATGCAATGGGGGCTGGGGGCAGGAGGATCCTCTGCAGCTCCTTCTGACCTCGACTGCTGATGGCCCCTCTAGACTCTGAGATTCTTCACCCTGGGAATCCTCCCCAAAGCCCTCGGGTCCTCTCTCTGCCTGCCAGCCCAGAGTGACAGGAAGCTCGGCGTCAGCCCAGCCAGCCACACTGGGAGCGCCACACCCACAGCCTGTTCTGGGAAAGGCCCAGAGCTTTGCAGAAACTTTCTAATCACCATCTCCTCAAAACCTCAAAAGCCAAAGGGGACTAATGCGTCTGGGAAACACTCCGAAGTGTTTGGACGGAGAGGAAGGCGCAGAGGACAGACAGGCCTTAATTGCCCCGAGGCCTGAGACCTGCCCCAGAGGAGGAAATTTAGTGATTCCTGGAGTCTGGACTCTGTTCCCAATTCTACCAGCAAGCATAGTCAGCTAGAGCACCTCCAAGTACTTTCTGCTTCTCAGTTTTGGATAGTATACTGCTCTTCTACACCCTCCACTTCTGCCTCCCCTGACAATTTTTTTCTTTTTATGGTACAGAGTGTTGGACCCAGGACCTTCTCACTAAGCTACATCTCTGGCCTTTTCAGTTTTTAATTTTGAGAGAGGATCCTGCTGAGTTGCCCAAGCTGGCCCTCAAACTTGCAATCCTCCTGCCTCAGCCTCCCGAGTAGCTGGGAGCACAGGTGCGTTCCACATGCCCGGCTGCTCACAGGCATTTTGAAAGTTGTGAGCAATACAATGGATATAAAGCCTGTCTCAAAACTATAAAGTTTTGTATAAACACTATCACATTATTATACTGCTAACAATAATCCTATAGGAATCATACATTTAATATTTAAAAATTAGGATGCTTTATAAAATAATATGAAACAAATTTCATCCTATATGACCAAAATAATATGCTGCGCCTCGGGCCGGGGATTTAGCTCAGCGGCAAAAGCGCCTGCCTGGCAAGTGCAAGGTCGTGAGTTCGGTTCCCGGTACCGGAGAAAAAAAACAAAAAACAAAAAAACAAAAAATATGCTGCGCCTCAATTTTATCATTAGTCTTACTCCTTTAGATTTCAGCAACTAGGATATGCTCTGTGAGTGTTACTTTCCTTCGTTGCTGTGGGAATGTCACATTTCTAAACGGCTGTGTCATTAGCGTCTAGACGGACTAATAAACAAAGAACATCTTTGGCGTGGAAGACAATAGTCCCCGTGTAACTCTCTCCTGCCCCCTCTTCACAGTTAATAGGAAGACATTTAGTGCTGGCACATTTGTGCGCAGTTCCCCGAGACGCCCACTTACCCGTTGATGAGATTCCAGGAATCTTCTGTGCTGCGAGGAAAAGATCGTCAATGGGGTCCACTAAGTGCTTCATGTTCCTCCTCCTGGCGTTGTAGTAATTGCCATCAGCAGCCCTTCCAGCACGCTCTATGGCCACCAGGTGGTCAAATCTGCCAGGAAGTAGGAAGTAGATCCTTATGGCGAGTGTGGCTGCTTTGGCTTCACCTTTGTGACTCTGTGTGAAGGACCCTGGGTTCTTTCTTGGACCTCGTTATCCCAGGGACCTGATGAACACGCGTTCTGTCCCAAGCTTTCCTTGGGGGCGTGGCCATTAAGACACAGCAGTGGGTCTTCAGCAGTATCTTTAACTAGGGTCAGAGGCTGCAGAGAGCAGGAGGCCAGTGGTCAGGGTGACTGGCATGGGGAAGGGCTGGGCCCATTGCTGGTGCCGCCCTAGGTGCCCCTTATCCAGTAGTGGGCAGCCCTAGACATGGGGAGGGCTGCTGTTGGCCACTACTGCACTCTCCCAGGGTCTTGTCCGCTTTACAGACACAAGACAGAGAAGGATTTGAAACAGAGGTTGAATAAACTGCACACAGAATGAACATCTTTAGGGAGAAAGAGAGAGAAATAAGAGACATAGATAGTGGAGTGGTCAGAATGTGATTGTGAAATTCTGTTGTCCTGGTCCCACCTACTCTAGGTCCTCCTGCCACTAGTCTAGGGCACTTGCCTGACCTTCCTAGCCTTTCTGCTTTTGCAGAGCCATTTGCAGCAGCACTGACCTCAATCAGCATTGGGAGAATTAAACACACGAGAGGTGCTTGTCACAGAGCTACCACCTACTTAGGATTCAGTAAGTGTCAGTTGTGGTTGATGTTGGTATTATTATTGGCAGGGATATTGATCATCTGATTTAAAAACATGTGACATATTTTTCTGCATGTCTCTAAATCCCTTAATGATGGAACTCTTCAGAATCTTAACTCTGCTATGGAAAACAGTATGCTTCTCAAAAATTTAAGTTAGAATTACTATATATATGGCCCAGCCATTCCATTTCTATATACCCCAGAGAATTGAAACCAGGGACTTGAAGACATATTCATACCTTCATGTCCCTAACACCATTGTTCCCAGTAGGCAACCCATGTGTCCGGTGATGGATGAATAGATAAATATACACTGGAAAATTGTACAGTCTTGAAAGGGCAGGGAATTTGGATACATGCTACACCATGGGTGAATCTTGAAAACCTTGCGCTAAGAGGCACAGCTTGTCACCAGAAGACAATACTGCGTGACTCTACTTATATGAGACAGCTAGGGGAGGTGTCATAGAGACAGGAAGTAGAGTGGTAGATGCTCGGGGCTGGGAGGAGTGAGGACTGGGCCATTGGTGTCTAATGTGGACAGAGTTTTGGTTTGAGAAGATGGCAAAGGTTCAGGAGATGGGGGATGGTGGTGACGGCAAAGCATTGTAAATTTATTTATTTATTTAATTTTCATCTTTTTTGAGACAGGGTTTCACTATGGTTTCAGGCCAGCCTTGAACTCACTTTTGTAGCTCAGACTGGCCTTGAACTCATAGTAATCCTCCTGCCTCAGCCTCCCGAGTGCTGGGATTACAGGCATGTGCCATCATGCCTGGCTGTAAATGTATTTAATATCGCTGAAAGGTACACTTAAAAGTGGTTGAAAATGGGACTAGGGTGTAGCTCAGTTGTAGAGTGCTGTGTGCTTAGTATATGCAAAGCCCTGGGTTCAATCACCAGTACCCAAAGAAAAATAAAAGGTTAAAGTGGCAATAAAGTTTAGGTTATGTGTATTTCACATCAATTTAAAAAATTTAACTGTGAATGTTTTGTCTGGTAATTTTTAAAAAACAAAATCTCTACGCCTGTTCTTGTCCTGTGCTTGCACTGAAATGAGAACATCACCTACACCTTGAGGCAGGACCACAAAGTAGGTCTTAGAATGCAATCACGGGGCTTCCTGCCAGCGCAGGACCAAGCAGTCACTGGGAACAGAATTAGCAAGAGGAAGGGGCGTGGCCCCCCATGTCCCTTCGACCTACCTCAGCGGTGCTGGAAAGGCCATTAGAGCAGGAGCTGCAGAGGACAGTGGTGCGACTTCAGTCACGGATGGGAGCTCGGAACGTGACCCAGGAGAAGGCAGCTGTGGTGCTATGCAGGGGTGCTGGGGTTTGGGTGGCCCAAGGATCCATTTAGTATGGTGTGCATGCCTGGGAAGAGCTGGCCCATCTGCTCCCCTCTACTTGGCACACAGAGTGACTGATACAGTATCTGCCATCGGGGTCCCACCAGGGGGACTTTTGACGTCCCCGGGAGCCACAGCTTCACACATAACCAGCAGGGAATACAGACAGCCCTTGTCCAACGACCTATCTGCTGAATGGCTTTCAGACTTACGCCCTGGTGCTCAGACCCAAGACCCACCTTCTCTTTTTCTTGTACATTTCTGTACATCTTGGTTATAGAGCCTCAGTGTCTTATTTTGGGTACAGTATAGCCTGTTTATACAGTACTGTCATTTTTGCTGATGTACTGTGCAGTACGGTACTATAGTTTTATATTTAATTGTTGTCATACATTTCAGTCCTGCACGTAAGAGTTATGCAAATGAAAGCAAAGTCATCGAGTTAGAATCTCCTTTGACCCCTTCTTTGTGCTGAATACTGTACCATGCGTACTACACACGTTCTCATTTAGTGATCAGTGCACTTAATGGCCTAATTGCAGGAACGGAACTTGGTCATTACACGAGGAGTTTCTATATAAACACTCCTGAGATGCACCCATAACAGCTGTAAGCGGCAATCAGATCCTCAACCACACTCTCTTTGGTGACTCAGGATTCTGCTTTGGGCTGTGATTCAGCTATGCCCTCAAGACCTATTAATGCAGTGTTTTAAAATTCTAAGTGGACATTTGTTAGTGAGTTATGAAATAAATTTGTGGGGTCTGATCAGTGCCTTTTAAAAAGTGGAATAGAACAAACTAGCTCAGAGAGCATCAGGATACATCGCACATAGAATCACGGTGAGTCTTGCAGTATTGCAAGAGTCAAAATTGCTTTTTGAAACATCTATTTCGGTTGTGTCTCTGTGTGTTGTCCATCCTGGTCTGCAGCACAGAATGTGTTTCTGTGGATTATTGTGAAAAGTGTATGCAAAACACAGTTATAAATTATAAGATCTGAAATGCATCCCTATATGTAATAAACAGGTATTTTTCAAAATGTTTGCCTATGACACACAGTGAGAAACACACACACAGCTTCATAAGAGAGTACTTAGGGTTACGTCACAGGTGTAAGACATGATTTTCATTTCACTTTTCCAAAGGGGCTGGTTACCCTAGAGGAAATGATTTTACTACACTCTAATGAGTTTTGACAAAAACTTGGAAAGACTGCTGGCCTTTTTCTTGTTAAAAGTAATCATCATATCTCCTCCCTCTGTTGGGAAGACTTGGCATCTCTCCCTGCTGGCACAGACTTGTTATTTCTGGGGTGCTCCGTGAAGCCCCCTATATACTGTGAGACCTGCCCCCTGCCTCGTGTACCAGTGTGACCCATCAGAACCTGTTTCCTGGGCTCATGGCCTTGTTCTCCCTCAAGGCCTGGGGTCTGAAGAAACTTTGTTGGTAAAGTCAAGAGCAAATGGGCTTTCTCTGAGGTCATTAACTCTGGATGAGACGCACGTACCTGGGCGACTTGGGGTCCCCATCTTTGCATAGAAAGCCCTGAGCATCTTCCACCGATCCACCTTGGTAAGTTAATACTGGGATCCATGTCTTCAGAACACCTTGGAAATAAACGCAAAAGGTGGGCACCTTAGCTCTGGTGTGGCATTTTGGAAATTCACGGCTGGTTTTCAAAAGCTTCTTTGGATTGTGTTGTGAGAGTTGCTGAATGGTAACCGAGTCGGGTACTTGGTGAAGTAAGCCAGGGCTGTGACACAGAGGACAGTACATTTACTTTGGTCCAGAGGAAACTCTAGGGCTGGGATAGGCCGGAGGGTGGAGCTGGGCCAGTGTGGATGAACAAATACACGGTGCTGAAGATGCCCACAGCACCAGCTGAACCAAAGACCTGTTCTGCCCTTGCCCAGTGCTGTTGAGGGTTCTAGGCACACATTTGTGTGCCTGCGGTAAATGTGTGCCAGGCTTCTGCTGAGTGCCTCACATGCCACCCTAATTTCCCCAACATTTCTTTTCAATAAAAATCATTATTATTCCCATTTTACAAAAAAGGAAAACTGAGGCCAAGAGATACTAAATTACATAGGCAAAGCCAAATATTTACGTCAGTATCATGACTCCAGTTTTCACCCTAAATCCCTGCCCCCTCTGCATGGGGGTGATTTCCCAGGTGAATTTGGCTCTTTCAAATGGCACCTTCTTATTTCTTTGTTTTATTAGTACATGTTCGCAGTACATAATGTGTACACTCCTTGTGTGGGATTGGTACATATATATAACACATCTTAATTCCTTTTTTCATTCCCTTTCTCTTCCCTTTCTCCACCTTTTGAGCCCCTCTCTACTTGAGAAAGATGTATCTCCCTCCTTCCTATTTTCTACCTCTTATCTTACTCTTTATTTATACTTTGAGTTTCTCATGTAAGAGAAACCATGCAATATTTAAGCTCATGTGTCTGATTTATTTCACTTAATATTATGGTCTGAAAGTTCATGCATTTTCCTACAAATGACTTGTTTATCTTTCTTTATGGCAGAGTAGTACTCCATGGTGTATAAATACCACATTTAAAATAGCCATTTATCTATTGATGGACATATAGACTACTTCCAGTATTTAGCAGTTATGAATTGTGCTGCTATAAATATGGGTGTGCATGTGTCACTGTAACATGGCGCCTTTAACCCTAGGAAGATACCTAGAAGGGGAATAGCTGGGTCAAATGGAATTTCTACTTTCCCTGTTTGAGGACTCTTCATACTGATTTATATAGTGGCTGTGCTAGTTTACATTCCCACAACAACGTAGAAGGGTTCTTTTTCCCCACAGCTCTGCCAGCATTTGTTATTGTTGGATTTCTTGATGATGGCCACTCCTTCTGGAGTAAGATGGATTCTCAGTGCTTGGATTTGCACTTCTCTAGTGGCCAGTGATAGTGAACATTTCTTCATGTGTTTAGTGGCCTAAAATGGCACTTCTTCTAATAAGAATAATGCATAGAATTGTAGAATATATGGAGATATGCAAAAATCCCCCAAATAAAGCGAAAGTTTTTTGGTTTTCATTAAGTAAGCAATCTCTCAGGTCAGTGGGGTAGAATTCTGGCTCATTCGCTGGCCTAGGATGGAGTCCGCATGCATAGCCAAAGACAGCAGGGTACGATGGATCCAACACCAGGGGTCCCACTGGTTCTTCAGGGACTCCATCTGCTCTGTGGCCCTGCAGAGGTGCTAAAGGGAAGACCTGGAAGAGGTTCAGCCACCTCCAAAATCTCCACCATTGGCCCTTCACACCTCTCCCAGAAAGCCAAGCCAAATAAACTCACATCTATGTTGTCACCCTCTACGTCAAAGCTCAAGCTCATGTTCTAAATGAAGCTTCAGAGCAGCAGAAACCCCCACTTTCCCCACCAGGTTGCTGTCCCTGAGCTCTTTTAGTTGTTTTTTTTGTTGTTGTTGTTTATCTTTTTGAGACAGGATCTCCCTACACAGTTCAGGCTGGTCTTGAGCTCAGTTTGTAGCCTAGGCTGGCTTCGAACTCACAACGATCTTCCTGCCTCAGCCTCCGGAGTGCTGGAATTATAGGGTGCACCACTATACCCAGCCTGTCCCTGAGTTCTTAAGTGTCACTACCACCCTAGTGGGTGTATGGGACACAGTGAGGAGAAGTGTCTGTTGGAGACCCTAAAAGACCCCTTCCTCACTGCGGTTTCTCTCCTGCTCCCTACCACCACCCCTACATCTTGAGGGGAAAGCAAGCAGATGGTGAATGGTCAGAGGGGCGCCCCTGAGCACAGTCCACTGTGCAGTGAAGAGCTAAAAGCCAGGGAATTTGGAGTGGGGCCATGATGGACAGAAAGACCCAGTCCCTCACCCTGCTGGGAGGAGAAACGTGGGAATCCAGAAAGGGGCTGAACTTACAGCCAGCCGCCATGGGTATCTCTTGCCAGTTCTAGGCCACCTGACCTTGGGCAAACCACATAAACTCCCTGAGCTTGGTCTTCCCCTCTGCAAAGTAATGGGACCTACCAAGCACGCTGTGACAGCACCGTGCCGTGACACTTGCCAGGTACCTGGCTACAAAACTAGTGCAAAGCAGGTGCTAAGTAAGGGCTGCTCTTTTCCCACTTCCTTGAAGCTGGTCAAAGACATAGGACACTATGTCAGAAGGGGTATCACAAAGCAGACAGGGCGGGGAACATGCGTGACAAAGGACACGTGAGACCTTTGCACAGGAGGGTCCAGGAGGACCTGCTTCTGTGCTTCAGAGAAAGATATTGGTAGGCTTATGCTCAAGACACTGAGGAAATGACCTTGCCTTTTCTTCTCAAAAACATCTAGGCCTCATCTATCAAAAGGACTGAACTATCTTCATTAAAAGGCCAAACTGCTTTTACTTTCTTCATCAAAATGTAGTAAGTTCTACACAAATCCAATAGAGCAACTCTCCCACCCAACGGAGCATGTGGGTAAGACCTAGCTCTCTGTAGAGTCCCCGGAGCTGGGCTCTCAGTCCAGCCTTGAGGGCACGGTGACTTCATGAAAGGGGGCATCTAAAAATAGCTACCCGTGCAGTCGTCAGATGCAGACAGTGTCAGCCTGTGAGCAGTGTTTGACTCTGCTGGCTGTCCCTTCCTCCTTGAAGGCTTTCTCTGTCCACCACAACGCAGTCCCTCAGTTTCCTGTCTCTCTGCTGCTCTTAGGCTGCTCCCCCATTTTCCCTGTCCTCTTGACCCAGGACTGCACCCTGTGAGTTGTGTGCCCCATCTGCACTTATTTCCACAGCGATCTCCCCAGCGTCTTCACTGGGGAGTGTGCAGCCTGCCAGCAGCCCTCTGATGCGTCCTTCCCCCCAGAGGGTGCGCCTGTGAGCATCTCCTACCTCCTGGTGCCTTTTCAGACATGTTGAACTTGACGCACGCAAGCCTGCACTCTAAAAATTCTTAATTACGGCAAAACACACATGACATAAAACCCCCCATTTTAACTCTTTTAAGTGCACAGTTCAGGGGCATGAAGTACATTTACCCTGCTGTACAACCATCCCCACCCTCCACCTCCTGAAAGTCATCCTCCCAGAAATTCCATCCCCATTAAACACTAGCTCCCTATTTTCCCTCAGCCAAACCCCCCGCAGCCCTACTTCTGCCTTCTGTCTCTATGAGTTTGACTACTCTAGGTACCTCGTATAGTGTTTGTCATACAACACTGGCCCTCCGTGACTTGCTTATTTTCCTAATGTAACATTCTCCACATTTGTGTGCTGTGCGGTGTGTCACCTGAGTATCCGTCCATCTGCCAGAGGACCCGTGGGTCACTTCCATGCTTTTGCTACTGTGAACAGTGCTGCTAGGAGCATGGGTGGATAAATATCTCTCGAGCATCTCCTTTGACTTCTTTGGGAAGCAAACACTGAGAAATAGAATGTCCAGAGCAAGAGGTGATTTCATTTTTGACTCTTTAAGCAGCTGCCGCACTGTTTTTCATGCATCTGCGTCATTGTACAGTCCCACCAGCACTGTCCAAACATCAAACCCAGCCTGGATTTATACATCCAGCCTGCCCCACCCATGAACCTCCGTGCTAAGTTCACAGGACTCCATGCTCTTGGGTATTCAGGCCAAAAGCTTAGCACGGTCCCTGATCGTTACCTCTTACACCGACACCCAGTCCCCTGGAAGTTATGCTGGCGCCATCTGCAAAACACATACAGAGTTCGGCTACTTCTCAGCTCCACGAGCACCTGAGCCGTTCCTCTGTTCTGCACTCCCCGGAACCAGAGCTGAGCCTGGAGTGCAGGTGGTTTCTTACAAGATGGTGCCAGGAAGCTGGTGGTGGAGAACAGGAAAAGCAAGGTAGGAAGGAGGGAAAGCCAAGAGGAGGAGATTGTGTTTTCAGGGTCACTGCTGCAGAAATTGAGGCCCGGTTCCACCCAGGCCTGTGTATCACCAGAGGATGGGAGGCCAGGCACGCAACTCCTGTCACCAGTAGGATCAGCCCACAGTTCTGGGTGGACTGGTTGTGCCCAGCTTTGGGGATGCCTTGCTGGGCGCTGGCTTGCAGTGGGGCCTGTGCCCTCTAGCTGCAATCAGAGGGGATGTGTCACGGGGCCCTTCCTGCTCCAAGCCACCTTCATCTCCACCTCCAGTAGCCTGACAGTCTCCTGCATCCACCCAGCCATCTTGCATTGCTAAGGCACAGCATGGCCTTCCTTTGCTCTGGGAGCTCCTGGGCTCCTGGGCTCCCTGCCTCACCCAGGGTAAAAGCCCAGGTGTCTACAGAGTCCCCAAGGCCCTTCCCCACCTGGCCCCAGTTACCTCTCTTGTCCACCTGTCTGCGTCTCTTCGCCTCATGCACTCCAGGCTGGTCGGCTGGACTGTGCCCTCCTTGAGTCTGCCAGGCTCCTCACCGATGGGCCTCTGCCTGGGCCACTGGCACAGCCTGGACACTTCCCACCAACCTCGAGCCTGGGTCAACTGTCACCCTCTTCCTATGGTCTTCCCTCAGTCTCCTGTCTACATGAGCAGCCCCTGCCCAGCCTTCCCATCTCCACCCCCTCCTCCTCCTCCTGCTCCATCTCTCCTCTAACACCGTCACTTCCTAGTGGATGACACACTTCTTACGTAGCACGTTACTGTCGCGCTGGAGGACATGTGCTCTATGAGGCAGGACTGTCAGCCTTGCTCACAGATGGACCTCAAGAGCCTAAAACCAGGCCTGCCACACAGTAGGCACTCAGGCCACTTCAGTGGCCTGTGAGGGAGTCATGCGCAGACACAGCAGTTCTGAAAGTTTCAGCTGGGGTCTTTAGGGTTAGCCGTACTGGCGTCGAAGCCCTTTTGAGATGCTAGAGGGACAAAATACTTCTTTGAAGAATGCCCTTTGAGGGACCCAGGGAGACAGGGGGTAGGAAGCAGCTAGATTCACCAGGCTCCAGCTTGAGCCTGAGTGGCCCTTCCCAGGGGAAGGAGCAGCCCAAGACGATCTCATCCACTGAGGGCGCTATCGGAACCCTAAGTCTCCCCCGCCTGCAGCCCTGACAGCTGCTGGGTGTGCCGCTGCATCCCTGCCCATCTGGACCTGGCTGGACCCCTCTCTACTACCCATCCCCATCTCCGGCGGCCCGGGGCCACTCCGCATCCCACGGGGAGGGCAGCGGGTGCTTTTCAGCTTGGTGGATGCAAGGTCAAATTCCAGTGTACCACTCTGCCTAGGTAAACCACCTGACCCTCTGGAGCCTCAGTCTTCTCTATAAAATAGGAACAATGCTGCTTACAACCAAGTGTTCTTCTGAGCTCTCAGGAGCATAAGCCGCATCAAGGGCACAGCCCAGTGCCTGGGTGACAGAGCCGCCACACACTGACTACCTCCACCCTGTGCCACAGAGGCCGGTTTGGGAGAACAGACTGAGCCCGTGTCACTGCTCACCTTGCTCCACAGCATCGTCAACAAGCTTCCTGTGCAAGCTCAAGGCTCTCTGGTCAACCACCATGGAGACCTCCTTCCCCAGAGCCTGCAGGAAGGCGGCCAGAGCGATGGCTCCCGGGGGACCGTCTGTCTCCTCTGGGGGCTCATGATTGAAATGCGTGGGCAACCCGGTGGTGACCAGCACCGAGCGGGCATGGGACAGCGATAGAGAAGCCTTCAGCAGCTCATCTTTGCAGAACAGGGACCCGATCCCTCGGTTGCCTACAATTACAAAACAAAGCGAAGTATTAAAACAAAGTAATTATGTTCAAAGTAGAAACTTTTTTTTTGGTACCCGGAATTGAACGCTTGCCAGGCAGGCGCTTATGCCGCTGAGCTATATCCCGGGCCCTCAAAGTAGAAACTTATGCTGAGTGGTTTGAGTTTTTTGATGGTTTGCTTTGTTTTTCCAAGAAGTAGGTGGGAGGAATATGGCAGGGACTGTGAATTGTTCACCAGAATGCTTTCTTGTCCTCCCACCGCGGTAGTGAAGGGTCGCAGGCAAACAGGAGTGCAAGTGACAGTGTCACCTCTGACCTTGCCCTACACTCCAGTACTTTTCTCCAAGCTCTTTCTCTTTCCTTGAGACTGAAAAGCTGGTGCCCAGAGCCCGCTGGAATCCACCCAGTACAGTGCAGAGCTGCAGGTCCCTGAGCTGGTGGAGCTGAACTCCTTCTTGCTGGCCCGGGATGTTGCCTGGACAACCTGCCCTGGGCTGTGGTGTGAGGAGCATACGCTCTGTTTTATTTGAGCAATGCATCTTGGGTGCCCTGGTCAAGGAATTTTGACAAATGCTAACTAATACAGGAATGCATAAGGAGGAAGGGACAAGGCACTGTACTGATGGGGAGTCCCCAACAGGAGACCTAAGGAGAGGACGCGGTACAAGTATTTCAGTGAGGTGATCCTAAGAAAAGAAGATGGGAAAGGGAAAGAAAGGCCACTAAAGAATTGTGAGTGAACACGTGAGCTCTCAAGGCAAACGGGACCCAGTTTGGCTTGAGATCCTCTAAGAGACCATGGGGTACACACCTCAGAATTGTCCTAGCAGGGGACAGGAAGACTGTGCATTTATCCACAGGTTTCTGCCTCCTCCCAGGGAAGGTTGCCCATGGGGTGCTGACCCCCCGCCTGCGCTGTGCCTGCAGTGGTGGAGAAGGCCCTGGGGGACAAGGTTGCAGTCCCCCTGGAGCAAAGACCAAGCCTAGGGGGGAAGCTGTCCAGATGAGAGTCACCCATTACAGCTGCAGGCCAAACCCAGGCCGGCCCAGGGGACACAGGCCGGGCAGCAGCCGCATGTGCTAGGGATGCCCGCCAGAGGCTGCCAAGCTGGGTCAGGCCTTTGTCACATCCCATGGTGCTTCTGTCCCCACTCAGGTCACCCCTGAGCAAGCAGAGCACGACTTAGGGGCTGCGGCTGTGGCTGAAATCAGAGGTGGGCACAGAGCCACGAAAAGACGCTGACTTGCAGTGGACATGTGTGCAGAGAGTGAAGGATGCGGGGACCCTATTATGCAGGAACAGCTCCAGATTTAGAATCTGGAAACTTAACCGGAGACTTAGCTCAGCGGCACAGCTCTTGCCTGGCAAGTGCGAGGTCTTGAGTTTGATTCCCGATACCACAAAAAAGCGAGTCTGGAAACTTAATTCCATCACAGGTGCTGGCACATTATGGCTGTGTGTCCTTGGCTGCATCCCTTGATCTCTCTGAGCCTCGGTTTTCCTAGGTGGAGAATGGGGTGGTCCAGGTATAGGAAGGCTGGGGAGACCTGGTCTCTCACCTACTGCTGGTGGAGTGTGGACTGGACCAGTTCTACCCAGAGGGTGACTTTTATCTTAGATCTGCATTTTTGCAAGAGCCAGCAACTCACTCATAGTATGTAGCATTCCCAATAAAATAATCATGAGTATGCACAGATTTAGTGATAGGGATGCTCGCTGTGACATTGCTTATGATGTCAAGATAATAGGATACTTGTCACATGGTGATTCACTCGTATAAAGGAACTCTGCAAATATTAAAAAGGGTGCTGTAGAGGATATGACATGGAAGGATGTTCATGATATATTAAAAAGTAAAAGCAAAGCAAGTACCAAAGTTGCATCACAGTGAGATATTGGTATATCTATACATTCATACAGACATTTGAGATGGAAGGAAAAGATTTTATAGGCAAGCACCTAACCTAGTACGGGATAATTGCAGTGGGATTCTGGTAAGTTTTATTGCCTCCTTAGTTTCATTTATTTTCTGGTGCTTCCATAATGAACACACAGTTCTGTTGAAAAGATGGGAGGAGAAGAACAATATTTTTTAAAAATTGAGATGTAATCTATTTCATAAGGCGTGGTGGGCACCAGTGGAGAGAAGGGAAAGAGAATTTTGTCTACTGAAAGCCATAGGTACATTTCTGATTTTATAATAAGTGCTGAGATTATTGGATATAATATATATATATATACATGCCCCTGACACTTCAAATGCAAAGCAATGTCCTTTCAAAAGGTCTGAGAGCTGTATTATTACACCCAGTGAGTAATGCTCAATATACCCCACACTGTCATTAATCTTATCCTTATTTAACAGAGTGAGAAACAAAATCATTTCTTGTTCTTGAGGATTAAAGACGGCCCTTAATAAATGAAAGGGGCACATCCAGACAGTTGCAAATCTGCCTTCCCATGACCTCATTCTTCAGCCTTGACTCCCCGACTGCAGGAACACGGATGGGTGTGTTGTTTGATCTCTCCGAGCATCCTTATTTAGCAATGGGTGCATGGCCTCTGGTAGTAAATTTGCTTCTCAGTTCTCTCTTTTTAAAGTTTAAGCTAATGGCAGAGTTAATAATTCATTTTCCCTCATGCCCCTGGGCCAAGTGGAAGAGACATCAGCTTGGGTAAGCCTACGTGTGAGGCAGAAAATATTGGGGAAGAAATTTAAAACGTCTGCCCAGGAGATCAACCACCTAAGTGACTCGTGTGTACAGCTGCCACGCGAGCACATTCTCCCAGGTATGTCTGTGGTGAGTGTAGGTCCCAAATTTACTGTGTGTTTGTACATAAAGGAAACCATATTTTCTTCAGAATGAATGCAGGCAAAGAGCTGTACCCAGTGGTTTAGTAGGAAGGTTAGAAAATGCCAATCCCCTGTTCCCAGGAAATACAAGCGTCCATTTCTAAGACTGTTGTGTTTGGGTGAGTTCTTGGCTATGATGTCGGCCCCTAGAAGATGGACTCCTAGGCTGTCTACGCCAATGCTCTATAAGGCATTCTTCTCACTCAGCAGTCACTAGAAGCAGCTCTGTTTGGGGTCAACTTCTGCCCCAACTGTCTACTAGATTCGTAGACTTGGAAAAGTTTCTTAACCTTATTTGCCTCAGTTTCCTTCTGTGTTAAATGAAGTAGTAAGAACCGTTTCAGTCATTGGGAGAACTTGAAATGGAAGTGCTTTTAACAGGATGCTTGACAGAGTGAAACTCCCTAGGTGATGGCTGTTGTTCTTATTACTTGCTATAACCCTGTGAGGGATGTACAATTGTTAGGAGACTGATGAGGAAACAGGTAGAGTTCACACTAATTCTCTCCCGGGCATTGGCCCACAAGGACCTCAGGAACCACGCACTACCGTGGATGAACCAGCGCCCTCTGCTGGCCGACTCGGTTAGACACTGAGCTCCTAAATGTAGATGTAGCTACAAGTTTAAAAACCCTCAATGGGCTGTAAGAAAACCTCTTCCTAACTGGGATCAGCAGACCCGCTGTGATCCCACCACCCCTGTCCCAAGCCCAGGAAGCCCATGGCTTGCAAAGTGCAGAAAACCTCTCCTTTCCCTGCAATGCAAAATATGATGTACATGTTGGCTACAAACTGCTGTGAGGCTGTCCCTGTCCTGCTTGCTGGGATCCCCAGAGGAGACGCAATCAGCCCTCCACACCTATGCCTGTTTCTCAGATTAAACAAAACAAAAGAAAACAATTTTATGCGCAGTCCCAGAGAAATGGCACAAAAGGGGAAGATGGAGAGATTGTTAAATACATGGATAATTTTTTTGGCCGTGTTGGGGATTGAACCCAGGGCGTTGTGCATGCCAGGCAAGTGCTCTCACCTGAGGTACATCCCCAACCCCTAACAGATGGATTTTTAAAAAATGGTGGTTATTGCCTACCTTGGAACCATCTTCCCCTTTTCTTTTCTGTTTGGTTCTGTGCAGTGCGCCCAGCTAATAACCTCACCCGTCAAACTTCTTCACATGTTAGTGTTGATATTGAGAACAACATCAAGAAGGAAGCAAAAATCACCCGCAACAGCACTACCCAGAGACCATCAGTAGGAGTGTTTTTGTGTATGTACTTCTAGGCTTTCTGGGATTCAATAAGCATTTTAAAAAATCATATTATAGATACAGTTTACAGCCTGCTGTGTGTGTGTGTGTGTGTGTGTGTGTGTGTGTGTGTGTGTGGTCCTGGGACAGGAACCCAGGGCCTTACTGCCTGCGGAGCAAGACATCTCCCACTGAGCTGCACCCCCAGCCTCTGACTCAAGCCATTTCCACTAATCATTATAAGAATGATAACTTCCTTCAGGTCATTAGGTGTAAATGCTTTCTTACCTGGGTCTATGGCAATTGTCAGCTCTAGTTCTCTGATCTTCCGAACGGCTGGAGCTGACGTGATGCTGTAGCGCAAAGGGTCTTGGGAAATGAGATGGATTTCTAGAACTGTCTCAGGGGTGAGACACTGGGGTGGGGTCTTTGCGTCTTTCAGATGGGTCATAATTGTGCAACCTGGCACGCTGGTGAAAGGCAGTGGAGTATCTGCAACACACAACAGGAGGGACTGAGGCCAGCACTCCTCCTCCACGCCCAGTGCGTTCTCATCATGCCCGCTGCAGATGGGCACAGTGGCATCCAGACGTCAACTCTGCCGACAGCACTCCCTATACTGTGTGCTAGCACCAAGTCAGAGCAAGCTGGCTTACAGCTAAATCAAGTTTCATTTAAACAGTTGCCTCCAACTTCTGGAAGAGGAGTGATGGGCTTAGTACGGCAGGATAAATGAGGTACAGCCACAGCTAGAACTAGAAGTTGAAAATCCCAACAACTGAAGCTATGGAGAGCAGAAAGCCTGTGCTGAGCTCTCACAGTGTACAAAACCATCTCGCTTTGTTTCCTAGCAGACGTTAGATTTGGTTCCCTCTGTGAACATAGCTTCTAGTTTTTCTCCTAGCACTTATAATCTTGCTTTGGTTTATGCTAGTTTTGTTCTTTCAGAACAATTTCCACTCCTAGATTAAAGGTCACATGAGGTGAGGAACTTCAGCATGGCAGTTTCACCTGAGTTTGAGATGCAACTTTATCCTTTCTATACCTATTTCTTCAGTTATAAAATAATGATGATGTCTCCTCTGGTGGTTGTCAGTTCTAAATTGGAAAATGCACATAGAAGTGTTCAGCAGGGTGCCTGATGCAGAGTAAACCCTCAGTAAATGATGGTTTGCAGTACTGAACCGGGCACTGTATCTTTTATCTTGGTGCCTGGATCCTGGTGCTTAATCGTTACTCTACTTAATTCACCCTCTCTGCCTTATGATCTGCGAGCACTCGAGCTCTACTCCTTCCCAAGTGGAGTTAACCTTGAAGAACGCGCCTTGAGAAAAGGAACCATCGCTTATTCATCTTCAGATCCTACATAGTGCTTTGCACTCAAAAGGCATTCAATTAATGGGGACCCGAGTGGAGTTGATAACAGTGTCTTGAATTTCACACAAACAGTGAAGTTTCTTAGATTTCATAGAGAGCTGGAGTCAGCCAACACTTCGAAAGGCTAATCAAATGATGGATCCGTAACTTTTAGAAGTGATACAGAAAGGGAAAAACTAATGGATCCGATGGACGTAAACATCATTTGCAGTAAAACCAGTCTAAAGCCAAGTCCACATCAAAGCAGTCAGCTCAGAGTGTGACCCAAGGCTCCCTCACCGTTCATTATACAGTGTGCAGCAATTAATCTGTTGCCAGTGGAGGTTTAAATACTGAAGCCTGAGAATGATTCAAGGCTGTCCCTGACCAATGATGTCATTTATTCTCATGTAAGATCAGATATGCTCTCACCATCCTCACTGAAAGGCTGGGGGAGGGGCTGTTGGGATGGTGACACAGGGAGAGCTATTTTTCATGGCATCTCCTGCGGCTGATAGAAAGACAATTACCACATACACATGGGTGCATGTATGCACATGTTGCCTTCTATACACACTCAGAAAGTGGCTGCACACTCCCTGAAAACTCCATCTTATCTCATGCAGCCTTGAATTCCCAGGATCTAGGCTCATACCTGGCACATAGTAGGTGCTCAGTACATGTACGTTGCATAGATGAATGTGTAGAATCCTGTATCTTTCCCAATCACGAGGACACTCTGGTAGCTAAACTCCCGTGATTTTCTTCAAAATAAGCTGAACTATTATAACACTGAATTCTATTATTTCTAATGCAAGTGTGGTTGAACTGGTCAGAATTTTCCAGCATCTACAACAGCTGAAGAAGTATTACTATTTTTAATATTTCTATCACATTCGTATCTTTGGGTGAATCAGTGAAAGCATCCTTGTATGTCTTTTCATTGTGATATCATTGTAGCCCTTTGTAAAGAAAAAAGAGGTATGATGCATTGCTTTACATTATGTTGCAAATACAACCGGCCCTTGGTGTCCATCAAATTGTGAATCATAAACATTTGAAAGAAAGAAATTACGTCTCTGTTGACATGTGCACTTTTTTTCTTGTCCTTATCCCCTAAATAAGACAGTATAATAACTATTTTCATAGCTTTAGATTGTAATTGGTATAAGCAATTTAGAGATGATTTAAAATATACAGGAGAATGTACACAAGTTATATGCAAATATTATTATTTCATTTAAGGGACTTGATACATTCATGTATCCAAAGGGGGTCCAGGAACTAGTTGCCCATGGATACTGTGTGTGTTATATGAAATGGTTTGTCTAGTTGTGTTTTTTGACTTCACACATTGTTTTCAAGGCCCTACCAACCTTTGAGATGTCTCAAAAAATCAAGCTAAAGGTTGCTTCTTCTGTTACAATGGGTTGCAAGTCTTCAGGAAATGGAAGTACATTAAATCACAACAAATTTAACTGTAAGACAAGCTGCTCTGGTGAGAAGACCCAGCCCTGGGATTAAAAGAAAGAAACTAGAAAGCTCTTCACAGAAGGCTCTAGACCTATGTTTGTGTCTTATTCTCCGGTTTTATTTTTTAAGTCAGTGTCCTGTAAGCCTATGCTTTTAAGAACCCGAGACCTTCCAGCTCTCTCTTAGGTCAGAGTAGGGGTCCCCAAGTGCCCCAACGTACTGCAGCTGCTGACGGCTTCGAGACTGGTCAGCTGAGAAGGCCAGAACACCGGGACGTCCCCTGGCTGACACGCCACGTGGTCCCCATAGTCAGGTTTGGAAAGCTCTTTGATTCCCAACAGTTCTGCAGGTGGAAAAAGGAAATGTAACCCCCTGGCCAGCACCATCCAAGTAGGGGCAGGAGATGGATAACAGGAATTGAGGCTGTAACCACCCAAGACACTCCATAACTTACGGGCTGCTGTTAGGGCTTGTGTCTGCATGTCCCCCCAAATCCTCATGCAGTCATAGGGTGGGCTTCTAGATTTTTGCTTGATCCATGGTCCAGTGCTGGGATTATGGGCGTGAGTGCTACACCTGCCCCTAGGGCAGGTAGTTAGCATACAATGTAAGGGAGGGAAAGAGGCTGCTTGCCGCTGCTTGCTGCTTGCTGCTCCCCGCTTTTGCTCTTGTTGCTTTTGCTGTCTTCCACTGCCAAGAGCTGTTGCCCTCTGCAATGGGCCACCCTGCCTTGGAGCCAGCCAAGTATGGACTGAAACCTCTGCAAACTGTGAGCTAAATAAACCTTTCCTTCTTTCATTTTGGGTGTCAGGTATTTTGTCTCAGCAACAAGAGAAAAGTAACCAAGACATCTGCATTTCCCAGTATGGTTTTGGAATCTGGGATTTCAAACCTGGTGATATAATTTCTGGAAGGAGACTTGGGTACCTCTAGCCCAACTCTTCCATTGTACAGATTGCTACCAAAACCAGCATTTGTGAGTTTATCTTGACCCAGGCTCAGTGACCTCGCACAGACCTCTGTTGCTTACCACGAAGAGCACCCCTAACTCTGGCCGCCCTCAAAGTGCTGAAGAGGACAGTGAGGGTGGGTGTGTTGGGAACAGCCTGTCCCCGTTCAGGAGAAAATTACTCTTCAGAAACCTTCCTGGGAGAGGTCCTGAGATCTTTGTGTGATCAAGGGAGGAAGTGCTGATCATCTTATCATGGAATGCGAGGTGCTTTTTTCTCACACCTGGTCAGGTTTACGTGCAGGGGCCAGGACTCTGGCTCTCACCCAGGACCAATCCTAAACTCTCCTCAGCCTGAGCACCTTCTAGAGCTGCACCCCTTCCCCTTGGATGGGTTCGCTCACTCTCAGATTGAGTGAATGCTTTAGGGATCAATGGATTTCACTTTGAATAGAAATTTTGAGCAAAGCCTTCTCTTGCCTATACAAGACACTGATAAGCAGCCCAGAGTAGAGGTCACTTTGAGCTCACTTCCTGGGACAGAGTCCTGCTGCCGTGTGCTGTCTCCCTGCCCCGGGATCAGTCGAAGTTCACACGAGCTCTGTACTTATCAAAGATCGCCAGTGGGCCCTGTACACCTGTAGGCACCTGTACCCACAATTCTGTTCCTACTGCTGGAACTTCTGGGCCCCGTCCAGGACCTCCACCCCCAAAACCCCTGGGAACAGAGCGAGTTCCTGGCCACTTCTCAGTCCAAGAGACACTGTCAGAATCATACATGAGGGTGGACACTGACCTGGGTGGCCGATGTGGATGGGTTGTCCTTGCTCACCAGCCATGGAACAAGTGACCTGCAGAAGCCTTTCCAGTTTGTCCTTGGGAATGGGCCTCATTGTGACCACCAGGGGGCAGCAGAAACCAGCAACAGCGGCACAAGGCACGGTTGTCTGATAAAGCAAGCAAAAAATGCTAAAAATTGAAATCAGCCCAGATCCAAGTCAGGAGCACCCAGAGTTCAAGGCAGCTGCATAAAGGAGGAGGTCCCAGTAGCTTTTATAAAAATATATCTTCTACTTTTAGGTGACATAGAGGTGGAGAAGTTTGCTGGTAATTATGGTTTACAACTGGGAATCTTAACTTTTCATGTGCCCTGACCCCTTTGGTAGTCTGGTGTAGCTATAGATAGACGCCTGTTCAAATTAGTGTTGTTAATCACATAAAAGAAAATTCATAGGATTCCTGAGGGATCCAATTATGTTGTAAAAACAGTTATCAAATTCTGGGGAAAAGGGATACAGCAATGTGCATGGTTTCTTTCAACAGCTTCAGGAACAGAACTGCTGACCTACTGCCACTGTGATTTTGAAGTATGATGACGATCAATGCCTAGAATATTTTTTGTGATACCGGGAAAAGCTGTAATATGATACGTAGATGTCTATGATTTCTTTGGACAGCCACAAAATTACAAGGTCTGCTGCCATTCATAATGGGAAGAAATGCCCAATTTAGTTAGAAATTATAAATTGAAAAAGAAATCCCTATCCAATTTCATGGGCCCTCTGAATTTTCTCCGTGGATCTCAAGGGGCTGGCACAGTCATAGGCAGAGGGACCTAAGGAGTAGAACCTTCTAGAAGGAGACAGGGTCTGTTCTTCCTCCACAAAGGGGACACAGGTGTGTTCTCAGGCCACTGAGTTCTGCTGTCTTCCTGCCTCAGTAGGCGTTGCCTGGGATGACCTGAGTGACTCTTGTTGGTGTTGTGCTTTTTCCTTTACTGTGGAGGTTTCTGGTGCCTGCACTGGGGCTTATGGAGGACTTAGGGTGTGCCCTGGACCGTAATCCACCAGGGCAGCCGTGGCTGCTCTTAAAGGGCTTGCTGTTGCCACCCTGGCGGCAGCAGGATAGAAGGAACCTGGGTGTGCCTGCCAGCCTGGTGTCTGCATATCAGCACCCGGGAGGGGGAGAGGGCGCAGGACAGAGCCACTCAGAGCCAGACAGTGCTCCTGGGAGGCTGCAGCACCTCAGTATGGGATGGCTTCGTCCTGTCCAGGCTGCCCTTGGAATCCAAGATGGCTGCCTAGCCATCCCCCATCCCCAGGAGCCAATGGTATCAGACCGACAGCTATTTGGTAAGCACAGGGCAGTGAGCGAGGGGCTGTGAAGCAGCAGCAGCAGCCATATTGAGCACCGGCTGGGGATGTTTCCTTGCTCTGTGCAAGTTTCCCCAACGGGCACCAACTCTTGTAGCCAGGCGTTCTGGGGTCCAGTTGGCTGTGGCACTTGGGCAAGTCCCTCTCTCTTTCTAGACCTCAGTTTCCTCATTTCAAATGAGCAGCTTTGTGGTGAGCCAAGAGACCCTCCCCACTTGTGGTGAGCCAAGAGACCCTCCCCACTTGTCCTTGCTACATATGATGGTGTGATCTTGGGCTGCCCCGCCCTGGGTCCCAGCCAGTGGCTGTGGCTCTGCCTTGCTCTTCCCGAGTTTGAAGAAAACCCCTTGGGCACCCAGTTCGCTGTGAAAGGCAGCAGCAGACTGTGGGCGGCCTTGTTTCTGATCAGAGGCAACTCAGGCTTCTCTGGCAGGAGCCCAAACCAGGACTTAATAAATGCCCTGGAGCTCAGAATGTAATCTCCGATCTGAGTCCTCCATAAATAACGACGCCTGGAGCCTGGCTGCTTGCTGTGGCTGCCATTGATCTGGCAGAGGGAATTCTCAGGCTTTTCCAAAAAACATGCAGGACGGGGCTCTGGAGTAGGGGGCTGTAGTTCTTGTCCCTTGTCAGGTGACAGCTGGGAAAAGCTCAGAGGCTCAGTGGGAAGGCAGTGCCCAGGGGCAGGCACATCCTGGGAAGGGCCACCATGCTGCCTTTGTGAGCACCAGCAGGCACCTCTAGCCAGGAACATGACCCAGCTTTCTGGACAGAGACAGCACATCAGCTAGCAGCCAGGCTGAGGCTCTGCCACTGATCCCTGGGCGTTAACAGAGCCAGCCTCAGGCTCCCTGAGGCTACATGCACTCAAACCAGGGAGGATTTTCCAAAATCTCTCCAAGGTGCCCTAAATTAAAGAGCCAGACAAATTCCAAACGAGTTTAGTTGATGTATCTGCAATAAATTGCCAAGAAGTGCTACAAATTAGGGATAGGGCTAGGGTTAGGGTTAGTGTTGGGGATACCACAGTGGTATCAGAGTTTAGCTCAGAGAGGGTGATAGCTCTGCCTGGGCTGCACAGCTGGCAAGTGGCTAAGCTGGGGCTATAGTTTGGTTTTTTTGCCTCCTGTGCCAGTGCTTTCCCCCTACATGAAAATGTAAACTGAACCACATTTTCAGGTCATTATGCTCTGGTTGGTGGGTTGCTTTTTTACCTTATATGCTGCTGCATGGCTGTGACCTGCTGGGTCTCTTCTGGAGAGCGCGGCCTTCTCCAAGGCCTCTTCCAGAGAGAAGCTGCAGTCCAAGACAAAGGTTACCATGTCCTTCAGCTGCTCTGAGTACTCCTTCAGCGAAGACAGGAGGCCTGTGCAGGCACCAGACTCGTATTTCTGGAACTGGGGACAACCTGTCCTGGAGATACAACAGAAAGCTTGAAGGCTCTCAACCCCTCACTATGGCCCTGACAATGCTTTTTTATTTTTTATTTTTTGGAAAGAGTCATGCTATGTAGGCTGGCCTCGAAATTAGTATATAGCCTGGCCTGGAACTTGCAATCCTTCTGTTTCTGCCTCCTGAATGCTGACATTACATGTGTGTGCTACCATGCCTAGTGGACAATGCACTTTTTAAAAGGACTAGCAAGAGTGAAAGAGATGTCTAGTGCTCAAATTTCAGGCATAGGTACCACAGTAGGGAACATGGGTTTTGGCAATGGGCTTTGCAGACTTCCTGAAAATGTGACCAGTTAGAAGCTATTTAATCAGCATGTACATAATGTAGCTACTGTCTCCCACTGCAGTGTAGTTCCTATAACCTCAGCCTGAAACCAGCCACAACAGGAAGTAAAAAAAAAGTGGTCCCTTGATTGCCATGGCCACAGGACCAAGAGACCACAAGGGACAAAGAAATCTCTCAGAGCTGGCAGGGGTTGAAGCCTTTCTTTCTCCTGAGAGAAACTCTTCTGCAGGGTTGAAAGCCTATAACTTTCAACCTTTACTCACTCCAAAGGCATTTACTGAGACATTCCTCCTTGCTGGCACGTGCTTGGTGATGGGGCTCTAGCGATAGACAGGAGCCCTTCCCAGACCTTAAGCAGCTGGTTACCCTATCTTGACAGGCGAGACACTGTTGAAGCCAGAGAGTTGCAAAATAGAGCAGTAAATGTTAGCAGTCTAAGTAGAGGAGTGATTCAGAGAATGGAGAAATCCATTTTCTACATTGTTATAGTTTGGATATTGAATATCCTCCCAAAGACCCATGTGTTGAAGATTTCTCCAGGCTGTGGTGAGGATGTGGAGAACTTAGAAGGTGGGTCCTTGTGTTAGTCAGCCTTCCTATTGCTAAGACACAGTACCTGACACTCATAACTTACAAGAGAGAAGGTTTACTATAGCTCATGGTTTCAGGAGGTTCAGTCCATGGTGAGCAGGCTCCAAGGTAGAGCCCTCATGGGAGAAGGGTGTGATGGAGCAAAACTGCTTTGTTCATGGTGGCTGGGAAGCAGAGCAGAGATACAGTGCCAGAGAGGAATGGGCAAGGGACCAGATATAGTACCCAAGTTCACACCTCCACGACCTAATCCAACACACCTGAGAGTGTTGTCACTCTGCTAGGTGTTTCTTAATCCAATGAAGTTGGCATATCAGTGAATGGTCACAGTCCTAGTGGAAGGAAGTTTGGTCATTGAGAGCATCCTTTGAATGGTGTATCATGTCTCTGGCCCCTTCTCCTCTTCCTTTGTTGCCTGGCCACCATGAGATGAGCATCATATACTCCCTCTCTGATGTGCTTCCTCACCACAGGCCCAAAGCAAAAGAGCCCACCATGGACTGAACTCCCGGAAACCTTAAGTCAAAATAAACCTTTCTTTCTTATAAGTTGTTTATCTCAGGTATTTTGTTACAATTTAATGGAAAGCTGATTAACATACTCATGATGGAAGAGGTGCTGAGACATAAACAGGAGTTTACCAGTTGTGGGAGAGTGTATCTAGGCAGAGGGAGCAGGGTAGGAAAAACATGAAGGTATCAAACACCACAGCCCGGTGGCAGGTCAGCTCTTAGGAGTCTCCAATTTGGCAGTGCAGGAGGTGCCAGGGCAAAATGTAAAGGAGCAACCTTAGCCCCTGCTGGGGTCTCTACAGAACCCTCCTATCCTTGGAGTTCACAAAATGATGACTGGATGTTGTTTGGGAGCTTTCTGTGTGGGTGAGGGCTAGGGCTGCCTGAAACACCAGAGTTAGGGGAAGAGCTGAGCTGGGGCCAGGTCAAAACAGATCCTGAGAGGGGGCTTAAGGTACTGGCCAAGGCAGGTACTGAATGGAGTTTAATAGGAGAGTCACATGATCAGATTTAGACCTAGAAAATGCCACCCTGGTGGGGAGAACAGAAGATGGGGTAGGAGGAGGAAAGGGCGAGATTGAGGCAAGGGGAGCAGTCAAGATGTTGGACAGTCTAGGCAAGGCAAGGTGTGAACAAGAGCTGGCCCAGTGGGGGAAATGAGGGCTTACTGGAGGAGCATTAATTACACAAGGAGAATCCCAGGGCAACTTATGAGACATGTCATACAGTAGCCCCCTGTCCATGGATAAGAGCCTCCCAGTGACCGCTTGAAACTGTAGTCCATACCACGCCCTATATAATTGTGTTTTCTCCTACAGACACATACCTATGATAAAGTTTAACTTACAAATTAAGCGTTGTACTTGTAAGCATTAACTTACAAATAAGCATTGTAACTTACAGATTAAGCATTAACAACAACTAATAGTAACAGAATAACTATAACAATGTGTGACAAGAAAAGTCATTTAAAACTTTGACTTTTTCTATTTCTGGAATTTTTCATGTAGTATTTTCAGATCTCGGCCACCGATGGGTACCTGAAGCCGTGGATAGGTGGCGCTGCTGAGTCTAAGAGCTGGAGGAGCACACACCACAAGCCGATGCCTTTTCTTAGTGACACACGTGTTTTTCCTCTGAGTTCTGTGCAGGCAGCTTTCTGGCTTGGGTGACGAAGTGACAGATGGCAGTGCCCATGGGATTTCTCCAAACTGGACTTTCTTAGAAATCCCAAAGATTTTACTGTGGGGCGGGGGCGGGGGCCAGGGCAGGGGCGGGCGCGGGGATGGAGTGGGAATGGTGGGAGGGTGGCTTGCCCCGGAGCAGTAGTCATGAGTGGGCCTCTGTGCCGGGTTCTATGGGCTCCCTGGGGCTGGACAGAGGTCCCTGGTGACTGAAACACCAGGCTGTAGCATCTGACCACTGGCAGACTTTGACTCCCAGAGACCTAGGCTCTTTACCTGATGTCAGGAACAGCCCCCGGGGAGGGCAACATCCACATCTCCGGCTTACACTGGCCCAGCAGGGGCAGAGGACCTCGGTTGGCCTGGCAGAACTTTTCAAAAGCTGGTGCCAGGGACCTGTGCAGGACCACTATGCTGGCTCGGCACAGCCCTGGGTAGTGTGGAGGAAGGACAAATGCACACTTAGTTGCTGTTTAATTCCACATGTATTAAAGCATTACAGACGCCCAGAAAATTGTACCTCAGTGTACAGGTTGATGGATTTTCACAAAATGAACACACACACATCATCAGCATTCACCAAGAGACAGAACATTATCCGCACCCCAGAAACACCCCTCCTGCTCCTGCCAACCTCCACCCCCTTTAAGGGTGTTCATCATCCCAGCTTCTAACGCTGCGTATTACCTTTGCCTGCTCTTGGGCTTTACAGACTAGAATCACATGCATGTGTCTTACGGGTCTCTTGTTATTTAACAGTATGTTTGGGAGACGCATGCACCTCGTGTATTTTACAGTACTTGTTCACTCTCACTGACACATGAGGACTGGCCAGCTTGGGTTATTACCAGAGTTGCGGCCATGCACATTTTAGAACATGCACACTGGGGCACATAGAAGTGCATCCCTGTGAGGCATACACCCGGGGCTGCAGGGCAGATACTGCTTTAGGAGATACTGCAAGCAGTTTCCCAAAGTGGCTGGACCAGTTTGCGCTCCCATCGGTGGTGTGTCTCTGGTGCTCGGGATGCCTGTCTTTTCCATTCCAGCCCCATTCTGGCAGCCGTGGGGCGGTATCCTATTGTGGTTGCAGTGTGCATTGCCCTGATGACTAAAGAGATCAAGTTCCTTTTCATCTATGTTACTGGCCACCTGGTTATCCTTTTTGGGAAAGAGGTGTTGCTGTCTTTGGTCTGGGCAGATTGAGTGTTGACTGAGGAGGCATACAGAATCTTTGACTCTCTCTTCAAGCAGACTTAACAGAGCTGAGAGGAAAACCCTCACTTATAACATCATAACCTCCTGTGAGGCAGCCAGCCATCCTCTGGAATGGGAAGTGTGTTGGTTTTGGAGGGAACCCAAACTGAGCTTGGATCTGGTTCTGCCTCTGACTGTGACCATGGACAGTGGCTGTGCATCTTCAGCCTCACTTTTTCCATCTGCAAGATGGGTATAATTATTTCTACCTCAAAGATGTCTCAGCAAGTTAAAGTATATACGTTCCTTAACACATCAGTACTCATGAGCTTATATTCATTCAGTGGAACCCTGTACACATTTGAAATTGTGGTACAGAAGAAATATATATTGATTACATTGAACATGTTTATGATGTATTGTTAAAGGAATGATGCTAGGTAGCAAAACGGTGTGTTTGACAAGTTCTTCTTTCTATAAAATTGATAAGAGAGAGAACTAGAAGCAAATACATCTACATGTTAATCATGGTTGTCTCTCGGTAATAAGGCTGAGAGTGATTTTAATTTTCTCCTCTGCATTTTTCTCAATATCCTAAAATTAAGACTGCATGTTTGAGTGTTGGAACTTGGTCTCTTGGGAGGCAGTGTTAGGAGGTAGGGACTAGTGGGTGCAAGATACTCATGAATGAACTAATGCCTTCTTTTCTGGGTAGGTTCTTGCTCTCACGGTACTGGCCAAGTTCCCACAAGAGCAGGTTGTACAGGAAGTGCACCCCTATTGTTCAGACTTTGGCATGCACCTGCTTGCCCTTCTGCTTTCTGTCATAAGTTGAAGCAGCATGAGGTCTTTGCCAGATGCTGGCTCCAGGCTCTTGGCTTCCCCGCACAAACTTTTCTCCTTTATAAATCACCCAGTATTAGATATTCTGTCCTAGCCACCGAAAATGCACTAAGACTCAGACCATCCCAAAGAAAAATGTAATTATGCTCTACTGGAGAAATAACCTTGGAGACAATTCTCCTGCTTCTCTATCAACATCTGGATTTTTTTTTCCTGCAATAATATTGTTAAGTAATATTTATGGAGTGCTTATGATGTACCAGGGTCTGCGCTAAGTAATGTGCACATTTAATCATTCAGAGAAATAAAGGTTCAAAGAGATCAAGTGATTTTCCCAGGGTTACACAGCCAGTGTAAGGCTCAGTCAGGATTTAAACCTGAGTTCCTCCCACTTTGTCACCGCACCAGATCTACTTGGCCAGGGCGTGGGGCCTCCATGGTGGTGGAATGGCTCCATCAACAGCCCCAGCACCTTCCTCCTCAGGGATTGTGGAATGAAGCAGATTCAACCATCTGCTGGGGAAAATCGAGCACCAGCTTCTACTTGAACCAGTGGGACCTGGAACACATTCATCCCAAACCCAGTGGTACTTACCAATGCTACTCCCCAAATCCAGATGCCTGCACACCCCAGCTGCCAGAATCCCAGCGCTGCTGCCCCAGGTCCCATGCAAGCCCAGCATGGTTACGAAAACAATCAGGAGAGAGGTGGAGGAAGACAGCAGCTCTGAGGCCTTCCCTTCCCTACCCACTACTTCCCTCCAGATCCTATTGGGAGGACAAATTGGATTTTTAACACAATATTGGATTTGTACGTTAGATGCACAAATCTTCTTTGTTTCCTTTTTAATTAAAAGTACTTCAGGGGCACTGTGTTTAGGTTTTGTTTGTCTCCACCTCTAGAGACGAATAGAAAAGTCTGCGTCGTCCCCATCAGCAACAGGACACAGAACAGAGGCCTCTGCATGCCGTTTTGGAGAGGGACGAGGCCACGGGGCCTCCCTTAAGGGTCTGATGGGCTTCACACAACCCTGGAGTCTTGGGCTCCACTTAAGCTCATGACGCTTTCTCTTTGTGGAGAAAAATGGAACGGTCCTTCTGAGCGTTTTCCTCCAAAATCAATTTTTTGAAACTTAATAACAAGAAAACAAAACATCCTTTAAGGCTCCTAATTTGATTTAAAGCCCCAGAAGACAGTGCAGAGCTGGCGTCTTCCAGCTGTTTGGTAAATGAGCTGCTCTCATCCTGAAACATTTCACAGCAGCAGGTGCTAAGAAGCGAGCACAGCTCAGGTGGCCTTGCTCATGGTCCTGGCGGGAAGAGTCTCAGGCTACTTTCCTTTTGGAGACGAGGACTGAGAGATCATGCAATCTACCCTCACCTGCGCAGCTAAGTGAGGCGCAAAGCTGGGATTCCAGCCCAGGCTGTCAGACTCTGGGGCCTAAGGTCCTGGCCGCTCTGCTCTATTGTCCCTTGGAGGTCCCAGGAAGCAGTTGTACCCTGGAGTTAGTGCTGGCTGATTGTGTGTAGCTGCTTGGAACAGACCTTAGTGACTTCTCCATAAATTATGCCTCCTGGTGTTCAGGGGCACATTCCCCGCCCCACTGTAACCTTTGCCCATGAACTCTGGCCTTGTTTGTGATTTGCTCTGGCCCATAGGTCATGAGTGAGTGTCTTGATACACACTTGTACACTAAGGCACGAAGGCTTGTCTTCCTGGAATGCTGTCTGTTGGAGCTCTGAGCTACTATGCAAAGAAGTTTGGTTGCCACTAAGCTTCACAGAGAGGTAAAAAAGAGAGCAAGAAATGTTAAACCTGACCGTCCAACTGTCCCAGGGGTCACCAAAATGTGAGGGAGGGACCATTTTGGATCGTCCAGCCTGATGGCCACCACCTAAACCAAAAAACCACTCCACTGAGCCCAGCCCTGGTACAGAGTTACGAGAATTACGGTGTTAAGCCACTAAGTTTTGAGGTACCTTGTTATACAGACGACTGTGAACCCAAAATATGGCACCAGAGGCCAGGCCTGTCAATAAGCTAAATGAAAACGATCTTGTTCAAATATTTTAAACAGTGCTTCTGGTTTTCCCTCTTGTACTTACACTAGAAAAGTTTTTTTCTTCTAGTTGTGAAGTTTGGCTGAGACCCAGGTCAATGGCAAATGTGATATGTGTTTTCTCTCTCAGGGCCCTTAGGTGTTCTCTGAGAAACAGTGCGGAGATGGTGCAACCCATAGAATGAGGCCAGTCCCTGGTGGGAAGGCTTAGTCTGAATCAAAATCAGGAGAATGCAGCACAACCTGGAGGCTCTTTTCCTCTAAGGAAAACCCCTCTTGTCATCTGAGCCTATGAGCCCTTCCCTGTGTGGAGCTGTGACCCAGCAGGAGTGGGTGGCCCTAGAAGATCCACACCTGGAATCTGGCTGAAGATGCCAGATCATTCAAGTGAAGTAGTCACCAGTGCTGATGGCATTCTGCTCTTGCTTTCTGTGCCTTGTAGAATTTCTGGCCCCAAACAGCTGGTATTCCCAGGATTCTTTTTTCCAGGGCTGGGGTTAAACTCAGGCCTTCATATTGAGTTACTTCCCCAGCCACCCTCTTCGTTTTGTTGTTTTTTTAAAAATTCTTTATTGGGATGGAGTCTGCTAAGTTGCCCAGGTTGGGTTCAGAGTTGTGATCCTCTTGCTTTGGCCTCATAGGATTACACTTATGCACCTCCATGCTCAGCCAGGACTTTTTTTTAAGCATCTAGCACTACTTACCCCCAGCCATGCCAGATGCCTTTCTGATAATTGCTTTCTTTGATAGAATCAAGCTCTTTGTGGCAGAGGGAAAGCAGGACCTCAGGCAGAGTGTGAAAGGTATCATGCCTCCTTAGATGGGTTGCAAGGAATCTGGGGGATGGAAGAAGAGAATAGGTTAGAAGGCACAGCCTCTTGCAAGGTTCAGGGTCAGCAGCAGATGTCACCTCCGGGGCTATCTGGGCTGGGCTTGTTTGGAGCAGTTCTCCTGCTGGGCAGGTCTGAGTTTCTAGTGGGAAATTCCTAATGCTGGTGACTCAGCCTCTGCTTTCTCCCTTTGCCTTCCCCCTGACCTGCCTTCCCCGCTTCTCTGGGGCCCTTCTGGTCCTCAAAAGCAGCTCAGAATCTACCTCTATGAAGCAGCCAAGCAGCTTCCAGGGCCCTGCCCATTCTCGGAGCTTTCTTTGTAACACTCATTTGGCCCAGAGCCACAGTGACCTAATATTCTACTGGACCTTGAGCTCCTTTCTCTCCGAAATGCTCAGAGGCAGGGATACACATTGGACTTCTTCCCCAGGATCTGGAGCTTGGATTGAGACCTAAGCATGTAGCACAACCCCAAAGCACTTTTGATGGAGGCAGAAAATGAATGAGTTCCATTTTCCATTGGACACAAAAGAACAGGCCGATAGCCTGGGTGCACATGACTTCCGTATTTGGAGTTTGGATCCTCGGAGGTAGGAATTTCATGTGTTCCTTTTTTAGGCTCCTTCCACACCATTCTAGGTATGGTCATTTATACAGACATTTGGTAAGTAGATTGTAAAAACTGAATGTGTTTTTAAAGTCATTGCCAAAAGCTTTAAAAATCATTTTTAAAAATAGAGATAGTCTCAAAGCTCAGTTATGTCCAGAAAGGAATCCTGTAAGTTGACTTCTTATATGGTTCCAGTATGTTAGCAGAATATGCACTAGAAAGCCGCATTGTGGTGGCCTGTAAGGCATGGTTTATGTCATTTTGATCCAAATAGACCCAGGCCCTTTCATAGTAATACAAAAGTAAGATTCAAATGTTTGTTGAATGACTGGCTGACTATAGAATAGAAAAAAGCATGAATCTAGGGGCAGTTTCATAGTGAGGGTTCTGGGTAAGCCTCATTTTCCACAACTCTTTCTATCTAAAGAGAAGAACTGGATGAAATTCCTAATCACCAATGTATGTTTTCAACTCTAATCTCAAGCACAGAAAATGCTGTAAGCCCGGGGACCATTTTAACAAAGAATTTGAGATTGCATAAAATCTCTAACAATCAAAACAAAAAGAAGATTGCCCTGGAAGGGAGAGAGGTGTATTTAAAACTGTCAGGAGTGCTTTAATAGCTGCAGGAACAAAGAAGACACCCAGGAGAGAACAGTCAGTCCTGCTGGCTGGGGCAGGGTGCCCGAGGGGCGGGGTGAGGTTGGATTCCTACCCCAGTGGCCTATAGCAGCTGCTTTGGCAGGTCAAGCCCTGCTTGTCTGCCAGTCTGAAAGAGCCTGCCTGGGCCTAGCAGGCCTGGCTCCCCGGCCCAGTAGCTGAGTCATCAGCTAAGGTCCTGGATGAATGTGAGTTCCAGGGCCACTCAGAGGACTTAGCACCTCCGCCTTGGACTCCGTATTGGCCAGATAGCCATTCCATAACCATGGAGGGACCACGGCCAGGGTCTTCAAACTGCGCATGCTTTGTATTCAGAGGAGGAAATGGAGTTCACCGAAACCCACTGAGAATACCGATACCCACAGGTACCTGTGGATCTCTCCACACCCTTTTATGACTAGAGAAGGCTGCAGTGCAAGGGGCTGCTGTTTGGCAAATAAACTGTAGCCTGAAGATTGTAGTCTCTTGTTTTTTTCTCTTCTTAATTTATTATGGTTTCAATGTAAATGTAAGTGAATTTTGTATTGTTTTCTTGCATTTTTCCTTTGCAGGTAAATAAATGAAGCTAGTGACTGGAACTGTGAAATGCATGCTGGGAGGGGCATCTTGCCCACTGGGAGGAAAAGAAGGCCCAGAGCCCTTGCCTTATAGTCATCCCCCTTGAGGGCCAGGGTCAAGCAGAGGGTGAAGTACGGGCTTATTAGCTCCTACCAAAGAAAATTTCTCCATTTACCAATCAGAGAATGCCCACTCATAATGAATGACAGCACCTTCTGCCGCATACAGGTACCCACTGTGTGCCAGGGACAAGTTAGGGCCTTTACTCATACCTTCTCTTGGTTTCTTACTACAGTCCCACCAGAAAGGCATTGTTAATCCCATTACAGACAAGAAAACTGAGTCTCAGGGAATCCGAACAAGTTACCTAAAGTCCCATAACCAATAGGTAGATCCCAATTCAAAAATAGGTCTAAGTTTAGGTTTGTTTTGTTGATATCTGTTATCTATATCTATGTATCTATATATTTATCTAGCCACCCATCCATCCATCCACCCATCCCTTTATCATCCATCCATCCATCCATTCATTTACCTATCTATTTATCATCCATCCATCTACCTACTCATCCCTTTATCATCCATCCATCCATCCATCCATCTGTCTATCCATCCATCCTGTAGTGTTAGGAATCCCATCCTCAGTACGTCTTAGGAATAACAGGGGCCACCTGCTTACACCCTGCAAGGTGATTGTTGGGTCAGTCTCTTGAACACATATGTTACATTGGGGACTGAATTTTGACTTTCTCAGGTTTTGTACCACGACCTCTGGTGAGCCCGCTGCTGGGTGGCCCAGGTGTCTTGCCAGCTCAGCAGACGTAGAATGAGATGAGACTCAGACTGAGCCTCATCAGACACAAACAGCCTGGGCTGCACTCCAAGAAGCCACTTTTCTGTTGAGAGCTCTCTCTTTTTTCTTTAGAGAAGAACAAACTATCAGATCCACAAACATTATCCCCTAATATCAAATATACTGGAGAGGGGCCCCACAGACAGTCCTTAGCAGAACCTGACACATCCACAACTCCAGTGTAAAAACATCTCCTCTGTGCTTACCTAGATGACTGAAATTCTACCATTACAGTCAGTTTTCTGCTTTATCCAAGCAATCCAATTCTAGAAATGCATCCTACAGATTAGATGTTCTCAAACAGTGGTTGAAACAGTAGTAGCATACAGGCCAACATTGTAATAGAAATAATTGAGAAACAACCTAATAAAGCTTGATTAAACACATTGAGACTTGCAGTATAGAAGAGTAGCTAAATGAACTACAGTACATGTCTTAATCTGTTTTCTATTGCTGTAACAAAATACCTAAGACAGGTTAATTTATAAAGAATAGATGTTTATTTGATTCAAAATTCCAGAGACTGGGAAGTCCAAGAGCATGGTGCCAGGATCTAGGGAGGGCCTTCTTGCTGCAATATAACATAGCAGTGGCCATCATATGGTACTAGTTTGGTTCCCCTTTTTCTTACAAAGCCATTAATGTCATGGGTGGGGGGTGCACGATCTCAACTAATCCTAATTACTTTTATAAGGCCCACCTCCAAATACCGTTAGCACATGAATCTGGGGATAAATCTCCAACACGTCAGCTTCTGAGAGAAACAGTCAAGCCACAGCAGGATATCCATGCCATACAAAGAGGCACCATGTAACTTTCAAAACGAGGCAGCTCTCTACAGCTCATCTGAAACAATCTCCCAAGGATGTAAGGGGAACAAGGCAAGGTAGAGGATTCCATATGCTCTTCCATATTCCATGATCTCTTCGGGTCTACCTGGGTCACCTCTAGGAGGATGGGGAAAAGCTTGGTGCCAGCGGCCCTTCTGGAGGGGACACTGTGGCCAGGGCCAGGGTGGGAGAGGTAGTGTCACACTATAGTTTGCACTGTGCTGTGGGGTGGCCCTGATGGAAGACAGGTTTCTGCTGTTTGTCTTTTCTGAGCCTTTTGAATAGCACCACATGTCTTATGTAATAAAAAACAGAATTTAATTAAAAATATAAAGGAAGGTAGAATCAGGTCATATTCCAAGAAATGAAACATTGCAATCAAATATAATCAGTCCCTATCACTCTGAGAGTTCGGGTCACTCATGGGTTTTCAAATTCTTTTGCGACACCATTGGTGGTCTGAGCACCCTGAGCTTTCAGAGGTAAGAAAATACAGCTGATTTAAAGAGCATGCATCTGGGACATGGCTACTGTCCCAATAATCACAGCTGCCACTTGCTGAGTGCTGGTCACTTTGTGCTAGGTGCCTGTGACACAGGTGGCTGCTAAGCCTCATGACAGCTTGGAGGGCCACTTCTAGCCCCAGGGTGCAGAGAGGAGACCTGAGCAGGCCACACCATGTGAGCTTGGCTGAGAGGGGAGCAGGGATGGAGCCTGGATTTAACCTCAGTGGGCCCTGCTGGCTACTGGACCATCAACTGCAGTGGCCTCAGGAGGAGCAGGGAACATACAGATGCCATTTATTCATCCCCATTACCTACCTAGTATGGTACGCTGTGGCACTGAGTAGACTCTTGGGCCAGCAGAGGGAACCAAGCCGAGCAGGTTCCTGACCTCCAATAGGGTGCTCTCCATAGGGTGGAGAGCACAATAAGCAAGAATCCACAGGCGAGTCCTAGAAGAAGCTGCGGGGCAGGGAAGGGCGTGGCTGTCATGAGAACCGAGGCCAGCTCAGCACTCCTCTGTTTCCATTCAGCACCAAGCTTGGTTCTGGCACCTAAACATCCTCCGCTGAATTTTGGTTTGATTTGACCCATGTCAAACTATAGCCTTTTTTGCTCTTTTAAATCCCAAGGCGCAGTGCCACTTTGAACTGTACTCTAGTAAATAAGCACTTCCCTGCCCTCCTCTCTGCATCTGCCCTCCACCCGCAGTCCCCCACCAACTCCTCAGCGTGGGCTCCTGACCCGCAGCAGCCCAGCCCAGCCCACCCCACTAGTGACCCTCTCACTCCTTCCCTTTGTCTTCCTCACACAGAGTCTCCACTTGGCCTACCTCGTGTGCTCGCTGGCCTTCATACTTACCCAAAGCCCCCCTCTGCACGTAGGACACTCACTTTCTGCTATTTTCTCCGTCGTCCGCATTTTCTCTTTCTACTCTGTTACCCTACATTCCTGAGGGTCTCCTGGGCTCTACTGCCCCGAACGCCCCTTCTCTGGCCAAGTCCAGGCAACCAGGCTCACTCTGTCCTGCAGGACAGGCCTGTTCACCCTTCTCTACAAACCCCACGGGCCCTACGGATCCGGGCCTTCTCCCACGCTGTCCGCACAAGCCAAACATTCTTTTCCCCTCTGATGGCTGAGCAAATCCCAGTAATCTCTCAGGGAGGACACAGATCACTCCTTTTGACTTTGGTGCTAATTTCTGGGGTTCTGGGGTGCTAGGCCACTGAGGAAGGTAGTCAGGAGGTAGCCTTAGTGTGTGCTCTGAAGTGGAGTGGAACGGGGGCTTGGACTATATTTGGGGCCCAGTCCTAAATTCTTTCTTATGAACCACTTATACTTCTTCCCTTACAAAATAACCAATTATAAAATTGACTACTGTCTAGTCCACCCATCCCACTTATCTTTCCTTCCATCCACCCATCCATCCATCTACCATCCACCCATCCATCCATCTACCCATCCACCCATCCACCCACCCATCCACCCATCCACCCATCCATCCATCCATTACCCACCCATCCACCCATCCATCCATCTACCCATCCACCCATCCACCCATCCATCCATCCATTACCCATCCATCCATCCATCCATCCATCCATCCATCCATCCATCCCATTTATCTTTCTTTCCATCCATCTGTCCATCCATCTGTCCATCTGTCCATCTGTCCATCTGTCCATACACACACATACACACACACACACACACACACACACACACTCACTCATCCATTCATTTATCAGGCATCATGGTAGAGAGCACAGATTCAGGCCAGACTGTCCAGAGCCTCAACCTAGCTCTATACTTAGGAGGAGGTCTACTATCTTATCTGTAAAACAGGACTGGTAATAGTATACACCTCACTGACAGCTGAGAAGTTGACACACTCGAGGTTCTTGGGACATTTCTTGGTCGTGTCCCCAGTTAGCATTGTGGAAGCACTGCTTGTGATTATCACTGTGCACAGCGTGTTGGAGACACCGTGGTGAATAAGGCAGCCACAGCCCACGCTCACAAGGGTTTACCAGCCTGGGAGACAGACATTAAACACATAATTACCATTGTGTCTGTCTCTCGGGGAGAACAGAAAGGTAAATATTTGACTATCACACCAAGTGCTTAGTGCTCCTGGGCCTCATGAAGTAGGGGTAGAAGAAAGGAAGGAGCTGAGTCTGAAGGGACGAGTGGGGCATCTGGTATGCAAAAAGAAAAGACCTTCTCAGCCCAGGGTGCAGCAGGAGCAGTGTGAGGGAGGCACAGGAGGCACCCAGCTTTCAGTGCTGCAAGAATATGTGATACAGGTAGGAGGCAGGAGCAGGGCGTGGGGTGGGGGTGCAGAGGGCAGCTCATGAGAGATGTGCATCTAGAAAGCCTTTCTCCCAGAAAAGAAGCTGGCAAGAGACAGGCTGCCTGAGTCCTTCGTGTGTCCTGCAAGACCAGTCAGTGCTGGGTACACCTGAGGGAGCAGCCAAGGTCCTACAAAGCACCCATTTCATGTCCCTTGCTGCGGGGAGGGGCAGAGCCAGCAGCCCACACAAAGGTCCCTGGGATGAGACAGCCAAGGAAGCAGGAGAGAGGACAAGGGCCCCAGGAACCAAGGGTAGAAGTGTTTCATGCAGGAATTAGTGTTCACAGAGGTCAAGAAAGAGAAGAACACCAAATCTCCACAGGCTCTGTAACCCACATTCTATCTCCCACACCACCATGATGGAGCCATCCGACCTCAGCCAACCAAAATGCACAGGGGATACCTTATATTTTTATAGAATTGCATTTGGGACCTCATAAAACGAGGAGACACAGCCCGCTTTCTTGAAGCTTACAGTGTAGCCAAGAAGAACACATTATTCACAAGAGCATACAATTCACGGTGCTACAAAACTCCATTTCTGGTTTCCGTAGATGTTCCCCGGATCACTTCCCCACAGCCCTACAACTTGATAATGGGAGAACAGATGAGTAGGTGGATAGACCTTGTCTCTACTCATTAATTTTTGTGGTGGGAGTTGCTCAGTGTTTGCCAAGAGAGTTGCTGGTGGTAGCCTAAATACAACTGCAAATTTGCAAAATAAATGTTGCAGTAAAGAAGAAGGCATCCTAACCATACAAACATTTCGTTAGAAAATGTCATTACAGTAACAGAGACAAAAGATTGGGGAAATGCTGGCAGTCATAATTAGTATTTGTTTATTTAATAGGTCAGATATAATGCTCCCAGGATGCAAAAGAGTGTTAACAAGCAACAAGCTTTCATCAAGACTGATGGTGGCTCCTTCTCCATCTCTTGTAAACAGTTCAGTCCCAGAGTCATTGGAGAATCCATGGTGGAGGGCAGGGGACAGGAAACTGTGATTGCCCAAAGCAAGGTGTCGGAGCCCAAGTTGGGTAAGGACAACTCAAGGAGGATGGCTTGGCCATGATGTCCCAGCCTAGTGAGTAAGGAGTGTCCTGCACATGGGGGATGTTGGCCTGGTATGGCTGGGAGTGGAGCAACGCCCAGCGGAGTGAAGGGCAGCTGAAGAAGCAGTGGTGGAGACAGTTTCTACCCGTGATTAATAAAGCATGATTACATTACACATTACACGATTCCAGGAAACTTTGTTTCTCACTGTTGGAGGAGGGAATCACAAATATGGAAATGATGAAAATTAGAATAAACTCTGTGGTTTTGGATTAACTCCGGATTTATCAGAATGAACCAGTGGTTTTTAATAAGATATTCCTTGTTCAATGACCAAGTCCTGTTCCCGAGACTAGGTTGCTAAGTGAATTGGTCAATAAATGAGGACTTGTATACAGTAAGTCCCTGACTTACAAACATTCGAGTTGCAAGTTTCACGGATACCAATGGACTTCGCATTATGAACATTTGTAGATGCAAACAAATTGTGGAGGTAGCTCACATGTCTGCTGGACATTGTCACACTTGTGCTGCTGTGTGCTTACTATACAGTGCGATAGTGTACAATAGTGAGTACAGCCGGGGACTTACTGTATTTGTGTGTGTGTTTGGTTTTTATGCTTTATGTTGTATATTTGTGTCAAAGGTGTATAAGACTCTCTTTGCCAGACTTACAAATGAACCTGACTAACAAACATTCTCCTAGAAGGGAACTCATTTGTAAATTGGGGACTTACTATATGATATGTCTATTACAATATTCAGAACAGAGAAATGGTTGAAGGAAACTCCAACTTGATGACTTTGTTTTCATTTGCATAACTCTTACATGCAGCACTGTAATATATATGAGAACATAAAAACTATAGTACCATACATCATCAAAAATTGCAGTACTGTGCTATAGAAGAAGTCATCTTAAGGCCGCCCTGCTACTCATATTCCTGTATATTAAGTCCCAATGTGGGACATAAGTCTCAGAGGTAAGTTGTAAGTCTGAATAGTGCACCTGGGCACAAGTCTAAATAGCTGTTAAACAAGTAGGTTGTTAAAGGAGGAATGTCTGTACATAGAGCTCAATTTTTGAAATAGTAAAGGTATAGCCATGTGCCATGTCACACACCTGTAATTCCAGCTACTTGGGAGGCTGAGGCAGGAGGATTGAGAGTTTAAGGCCAGCCTGGGTAACACAGTAAGACCTTGTCTCAAATGAAGTAGAAATGTGTGTGTGTATATGTGTGTGTGTGTGTGTGTGTGTGTGTGTGTGTGTGTGGTGTAACATCCTCTATTTCTGCCTAGGAGTAGCAGCACCTCAATAGGAATGAGCACATTAATGTTTGGATTGTGGATTCTAAATACCATTTTCTATTAAAATAAATCAAGATTCCTTGAGGAAATGTGAGTTCCACGGCCAAGGATAGGGAAAGAATAAGATGAACCTGGAGTATCTTTTCATGCCAGGAAGTGAAGATGTGCCAAAGAATCATGAGGGCACATAGAAGAGATACAGACTGAAGAGGTTCTCGCTGGTCAGGTTGGGGTATTTGGAGGTTTAAAATTAATAATGACAGGAATAGATTGTAACTTACTAACAGGGGAATCCATAAGTCACAGAATCCATAATATACAGAAATAAATAAAAGTTGATGAATAATGTGATAAAAAGGTGCCTTGGAGTGCTGTTCTTGCAATTTTTATCACTTTGTGATTGCTTCAAAAGTCTAAAAAGTGAGAAGAAATAAACTTTAGAAAAATTAAATTGTAGGTAAGCAAAATGTGGAATACACCTAAGTGGAATATTATTCAGCATTCAAAAAGAAAGAAATTCTGAAAAGTATAAAAAAACTAAAAGTTTCAAAGTCTAAAAATGAGAAGGAATACACTTTAGAAAAATTAAACTGTGAGTAAGCAAAATGTGGAATATACATAAGTAGACTATTATTCAGCATGAAAAAGGAAAGAAATTCTGACACATGCTACAATGTGGATGGACCCTGAGAGCATTTTGTTAAAGTCAGACACAAAAAGACATATACTATATGATCTCACCTCTATG